AGATCAAATCGGATGGACATGTTGCAAATCACATCAGCCAAAGAATGCCGGCTGGCAGGGACTAGAAAACAAGCTTTTTCTACAGCAGCCCTTGCTCTGTGGAACAGGTTAGCCTTCTGTAAAGCTTTAATGACTGGGTTTACTATCTTTAAATCTTGATAGTTACACCTCCCTCAGTGGAACTTGTATGTAAATTGGGGGTCTTCCTAGAGTTTCATTAAGTGGAAGCTTTGGCCAAGAGAGTCTTGAACAAATCGATCTCACACACCAATTGTATCTTTCCTACATAGGGAGGCCTTTTTATGGTTATCCATGTCTTAGTCAGCACCTGTTTGGATTACTACAATACACTGTACGTGGAACTATTCTTGAAGGCCATACAGAAGGTTCAGGGATGTGTTAGTGTAAGAAGCTATGAGCATATTTGTTTTGCTCACTTAACACCATTAGTTTGCAAACTGCATTAGTGATCAGATGCAATTCTGGGTGCAATTCTAGGTGTTGGTTGTCACCTATCAAGTCCTACATAACTTAGGGCCTAAATATTTATGGATTGCCCCTGCCCATCCAGTAAGATCTGACAGCATTCCCAGTAGATGTGCCTACTGAAATCGATACAATCTCAATTTAGCTATGTTTCCATGAAACTGTGAAGGTTTGGTTCTATAAGCAGCCCCTGAGCAAGGTAGATTCTGAACCTGTTCCCTGCTAAAAAAATTTTTTTTTTACAAGTTATGTGGTTTGTTTTGTTGTTTTTCCCAATGAGAATGCTTGGTAATTTGGGGGGTATATTGTTATTTTAATTTTTCCATTTTGTAAGCTATCTAGAGTTTAATTTGTGATTGAGATGGCCTTTAAGTCTGGATGGAAGGCTGGATGACTAATGACCAATCTTTGATTATTTATTTTACACAATCAGGTTTTATAAGAGGTCATTAAACACAATATTGAAATGAAGAATGGTGATATCATCAGATGTGGGGGAAAGCAGTTGATAGACTACAGTGGACATTTTTAATAAAATTTTGATTAAATACAGATTTGTTCCTTTTAATGAAATTAATAAGAGACACTATAACCATTCTTTCAGCGTTACTATACATGGAGCCAACTATATATTTGTAATGAGGCCTTATGAAACCCATTAATATTTTATTTTTAATTTGATATTGGAACTATTGACCTGCTTCATTTGATAAACAGAAGACAATAGCTGAGGTTGAATACAGACTATTTTTACATTCCCAAGCTGAGGAAATGTTTAACCTGTGTTCATTGACATCAAAATAAATAGGGTTATAAGACTGAGAATTCTAGAAAAAAACACTACTGTATTGAAAACTAGAGAGATATATTGCCAGTGTTAGAGTACTAAGTCAGACAGAGAATATTGTCTGCATACATTTTAATGTATGTATTCAGTTCTCTTAAAATGGCAGTTCCCAATCTATACAAGATTTGGATTTTACCTGTCTGTGTGGTACCAGTGAGATTTAGTCAATAACTCATGTATAAGTGCCAGGTTTATAGAAAGTTTCTTTTGAAAAGTATTTCTTAACCAAGACACCAAGAATTACTGAAAAATTTTACATACATTTTTTATTAGGAAATGGTTGTCCCAAAAGAATGAAGTTTCTTAGATTCTATTTTCTTAATCCATGTGGTTAGATAATCTATAACAGTGGTGGCGAATCTATGGCATGGGTGCCAGAGGCAGCACTCAGAGCCCTCTCTGTGGGCACATGTACCATGCTCCGGAGATGGCAACTGTCCCTCTTCAACCAGCCGCCTGCTAACTCGCCAAGGTCCCATGTGGCTGGATGCATCCCGGCACGGCTGGTTTCCCCCCCTCTCCCGTCCCGTCCCTCCTGGCCTCGCATGCTCTCCTTTTCCTGGGCACGACCCACTGCATCGCCTCCTCAGCTGTCGAGCGGCCATCCAGCTCAGAGGCGGCTTCTTTGAACTGCTGGCGGCAGGCTGCGGAGCCCCAGAATGCACCAGTTGAGGGGCCAGCAGGCTGTGGCTGCTGACGGACACCGTCGGCCCCCATGTGCTCGTAGGCCTCTGTGTGCGGGGGCCAATGGTGTCAAGCAGCAGCCGCCCCAGCCCTTGCCTTGCCCCATGGCAATGGCACCCCCGCCCTGCCTCACCACATCCCGCAGGATGAGCCTCTTGCCTATCGCCCCACCTGCCAGAGACTCCCTGGATCTCTCCCAACTCTGCCCACCCCCCCAGAGGCATCCCTCCCCATGAGCAACATTGAGGTGACCACGCCCACCTTGGCCACACCCACACAATCTGCCATGCCCACCCAGTAGGCCACGCCCATCTGGCACCCGGCGATAAATAAGTGGGCTTTGGGTTGCAGTTTGGGCACTCGGTCTCTAAAAGGTTGGCCATCACTGATCTATAATTTTAAAAGGGCCAAAATCAAACAATATTTGGAAAAAAGATACCTTATTCTGACAATCACAATACAAGCAATTTGTTATGTTTTCTTCCTGCTCTTTCCCTTTATTTGAGTTCATATATTTTCTTTGGCAGGAAATAGGTTTAGTGAGAAATCTGCTATAGAATGACTCGCACTTATAAAGACTGGATAATGCATATTTAGAATAAGTACATCATAGATGTGTTTTTGACATGTATTTTATCATCACTGGATAAGCTTTAATAATTAACATAAATACTATTCGTGTATAAATATATAGATATGCACTTTTTAAATATCCCTTTAGGATAGGTACCATGGTTATCTTAGATATACGGTACTATATTATTTATAAAATGAGGCTGAAGATAATTGTAACTAATATTAACATTTTAAATGATGGTTAGTACCAATAATAAGGTGAAAGAGACAAATATTTTCTTCTGTCTAATTCTTCTTTGGGGGGATATTTCCCTATGCATTTATTGAGGTAAGTAATTTGCAGAGTGGATTTGAGTTTCACTACATACAACAACTAGAGATAATAGATTTGACATTTGTAATACAAACGTGGTTGCCTTGGAGTCACTTGATGTTGCAAAGCAAATTTCAGCTTGCCTCTTCTTGAATTAAAGAAAAACATTCTGCATTGCAGTCTGTTTATGTGGCAGTGGCATTTTTTTTCACTAAAAAGATAGCAAATATATTACAACTTGCCCTTTCTTGTTTTGAAAAATTGGCAGCTGAATAGGCATAGTTGAGTTTTGCATATCACAAGTTGCTTCATTACAAGCAACATGTGTGAAATGTCTCAGAAGTCAGCAGAATCAGAGGAACATCTGTATGTTTTTAGATAGATTTCTTCCCTTTTGCAGCTTCACACAGTGTTCGTTTGTTTCAAAATATATTCTTGTTTATTAATCTGTTAGTAGCACAACAGATACAAAAGGTCTATTTTTCAAATCTGCCATGGTTATAATGAATTTTATCATTCATTATCTGAGTGTTGTATCCGAAGATATTGTTTTCATAAATCAATTGAAGGAAGTAATAACTTTTAAAGTTTAAATTGGGTAGGTTGAGGCTAATAGTGTGTTAATTGCAGGGCTTGGACTTTTTGCTGATATCTTTGATTGAAGTCCTCTTTTTAAAAAAAAAAAAATCAATAGAGATTTCTCACTGTTTAAGGAATTAACAGCCAAAGCATACTTCAGCCAGAAACTGAAGAAATAATAATAATAATACTAATACTAATACTAGTACTACTACTACTACTACTACTACTACTACTAATAATAATAATAATAATAATAATAGCAGCAGCAGCAGCAGCAGCAAAAGGCAGCCTTGCTAGGAACTGCTTCCATCCTGTGACGATATCTGTAATACCATCAAACATCCACATCTGCCTATCCCAGGACTCGATATGTAGACAGAAATGCCAAATCCAGTCTGAACATCTGGCTGACTGTGCAATGATCAATAACAACAACAACAACAACAATAATAAGTTGGAAGGGACCTTAGAGGTCATCTAGTCCAATCCCCTGCTCAGGCAAGAAACCCTATATATTAGGGTAATATCTTTAATGAGTGGATGAATGGAGGTGACTGTAAGCTGAAATGTATGATGATTATCATTAGAAAATCATCCCACCCATTTTAGAATTGGAAAACTATATTTCCTTAATTTTTAGACAGCACTGTGTCTTCAGGCTCAATTTCTCTTATCACTAACTAGCATGGTTAGAGGCAAGGGCTTGTTGGAGTTGCAGATATGGAAAACATTTGAACATAATATTTTCCACTCCTATCTTAGTTCCTTTTTTTCTGATGGTTGTTTCCCCCACCTATGTCTTTCTATAACATGAATGGCCAGGATTCTTTTTAGCTCAATCGGGAGAAGATGGAGTGACAAGATAGGGAGAAATTGAACTAAGCATGCTGAAGGTGGGGAGGGGAGGGGGAGAAGAAGAAGAGGAGGAGGAAGAGGAAGAAACAGTAACAACAAAAACTTGTATGCAGCCTTCCTCTCAACAGCTCTGGGTGACATGACAAAGAAACTACACTTAAAAGCATTAAAACATAAGAGATATAAAAAAAAGTTGGCAAGCATGATGAAGCAGGGAATTTTATTAGAGTAAGACAAGTCCATCATAAGATGTAGTTTCAAGATACCATCATTTTGAACCACCCTCTTCTCAAAATGTTGCCCACCACTTACTTTTCCTATCTACAAAAGGCAGAAGAGGTGAGGCATGTCTTGTTAATTGTAAGATATCCAGAGGTAATGTTTTGGAATGACAAGGGATTCTGATCTCAACCAGTGACTTCTCTATGTAAAATACTGGAAGTTTCCACTCCTCTGCCTTTCCCTTGGGATAAAAACCTAAATCATTCTTTTTCAGAGAGAAAATTCTGTCTGGGACCTGAAAAGTTGAAATGTATGGCCCATTTCCTCTGAAGTAATAACCTTTCCCTTGAAAACCTATCTCATATTCAAAAATAAATGAACATCACTGCTCACGTATTGTGCTCTAAAACCAGATTGCATTCTTTTCTTTTACAGGCCGGACCTGGTAGACATGAATACTGTTGCTGTTCAAAGCAACCTTGCAAATTTAGAGCATGCTTTTTTTGTAGCTGAAAAACTTGGAGTTGCCAGGCTTTTGGATCCTGAAGGTGAGTTGATGAATTGAAAATGCTGTTGATTGACAGGCTTCAAAAAGCTTGATAGAAAGCCTGATGTTGTGGTATCTGAATTGTGAACATTGCCTCTGTCCACTTGTACACTTTAGATGTCGATGTCTCCTCGCCAGATGAGAAATCAGTAATCACTTATGTATCATCACTTTATGATGCATTTCCTAAGGTACCTGAAGGTGGTGAAGGCATCAGTGCACATGTAAGTAAGAAACTAGTTTTATACACTCAGAACAATTTTTAGGCAGAAATACTGAAATGTTAGGTAAAGTTAAGAGTGTGGCTGTTTCATTGGGGCTCAAAACTCATATAACTACTAGTTCCAGTAGAGAACAACTTGAATAACAATAGATCATAGAATGATAGTACGAAGAAGTGAGAACTCTCCCTTTGGTCATACTTCCTCCATGCAGGGTAGTTGAGTCCACTTCCTTTTTCAGATGCCGTGTTCTGTTGGGTTTATCTGATATTTAGGCTGTTGAGCAGGGCATGTTGAAATGAGTCCTCACGGACATGATGCTGATTAAAGTTTATCATGAAATTAGCAACTGGGTTTATGAGTAATTTTGGGGACCTCTTATTCAAGCCCATCCATTAGAATAGCATTCCCCAACCTTTCTGGGTTGACAGCCTGGGGAAGGGAGGGAAGAGGGGATGGTTTTGTGTGAGGGGCAAGCACGCACGCATGCACACAGCTTCATTTGTGTGAGCAGTGAGTGGAAGTGCAAGCACCGGTGCCAGCCACTTGCATGAATTGAGCTGTGCACATGTGCACGTCAGCCCACCGCCACATGGCCTGGTTGTGAATAGGTCATGGCCCAGATTGGGGACCCCTGCAGTAGAGCATAGCCATGTGTGGGGAAAAAAAGCATAAAGGCCTGATGTGGTAGAGTTATGAAGTTAAAAATAGGTCACTAGGGCTGGGGTCCCCAACCCCCAGTCCGTGGACCGGCAGCGGGCCGCACAAACAAACAAAGCCCCATCCACAGGATGCAGACAGTGCCACGCCCCCTCCAGTCCACGGAAAAACCTCTCTCCATGGAACTGGTCCCTGGTACCCAAAAGGTTGGGGACCTCTGCACTAGGGGAAAAAAGGAAAAAAAAGAAGGAAATGTAAGAGAAGGATATTGACAGAAGAGGGCCTCAAAAAAAAAAATGTATAGTGCTTACAGTAAGGCTGGACTGCTTCTCAAAATAAGTAAGGGAAGTGCTGGGAGTAAAGCTAGAAATCAAGTGAACAGTAGATAAGAGAACTAAAATCAGATAACAGAAGAATACATGGTTTACAAGTACATACAGGTGCTATAAAGGAGAACTTAAGGGTGGGCAAAATCTCATACTGGGTACAGGAGAGGAGGAGAATTTGAATCAGGAACTCAAGAGGTATAGGCCTGGAAGATCCAGTTTCTGCAATAGTATTCAAAAATCGCTTGCAAAGAAGACTTTGCCAATTTAAATTGTAATTTTTGCTGTCACTTTAGGACTAAGTTAGATAGAGCTTGATGGTTGCTTAGCTATAATGCAACAGATACAATTGACAAGCAAAGTCTTTACAATTGGTGTGCTACTTTATTGCTTCTCTTAGGATGTTGAAGTCAAATGGATTGAATACCAGAATATGGTGAACTACCTCATCCAATGGATTAGGCACCATGCCACAATAATGATTGACAGAGCATTTCCAAACAATCCTGTAGAACTCAAGGTGATTTTTTTTCTTTTGTTTATATTGCCAGAATACAGTTTTTAAAGAATATTAGGTGCTACTCCTTTAGAGTACTCACCTATTCATGTATAGTGATCCACAAAACTCCCATGTCCTTTAAATTACAGAAATGGCAGTGTTGGAGCATAAAATATTTGATTCACGATTCAGAATCTATCCAAAGCCAGTTCCCGCACAATAGACAGTGGGTACAGGAGAGAGTGAAATAAATTTGCCCAGCACAGCTCTTCTGAGAATTTAAGGGGTTGGCATAGTTTGCACTGTTACATGTCCCTTGATGTAAAAATGCTGGAAACTATTATGTCAGAGAGAATGTTAGGTTAAATCCCTTCTCCCCTCTCATGCTATTTTCCTACAAACATAATTTTTATGCGTGAAGTTCTCACCGATGGATTATCTTCTATCCTTATCACATGATTCTGTGATGGGTGGCTATATAAGTTTGATAAATAAATCAGTCCTCAGTCAATCTACTGTTACTCACGTGGCGATGGAAAAAAAACTGGCTTTCTGATCAACTATGTATAATCAGTGATTTTAGATATTAGAATCTTGGGAAGGAGCCACCAATCTATACACAATGTTCATGTAACGATTAAGCAATAAAGGGCATCTCCCTGGCTTGGAGGCATTAGAATGCATTTTAATCTGAGGCTGCGCAAGCCACTGCCACAACTAACACAAATTTAATGGTTTGGATTCTTGTCCAGTTCATAAAAGAGACATCAAACAGAATTCTGTGCAGCATTTAACTGTGGGGATTACATCCAAGAACACCAGCGGGTAGAAGATTTAACTTAACCTTGGACTTAAAAGAACCAAGATACCAAGGGAAAGCTGAATGAGAGACATATGGTTTAATTCTCTTTTTTCTTGTAAATCCATATATTTTCTTGTTGATATTAAGTAAATTAGACAATTTGGTTTCACAGTGATGAGCATGACAAGTTTTTATAAGCCTTAGTAGACCAGAATATCTGTTTGTTTTCCTTTAGGCACTTTATAACCAGTATTTACAATTTAAGGAAACAGAAATTCCACCAAAGGAGATAGACAAATCAAAAATCAAGCATCTATATAAATTACTAGAGGTAAGCTACATTGTGTGGGCTGGTGCACGCTGGATTTATTTCTCATTTTTATGCTTGATTTGGTTTCTCAATTTTATGCAATTATTTCTTGCCTTCAAAGGTTTGGATTGAGTTTGGGCGTATCAAGCTTCCTCAAGGCTACCACCCAAATGACATTGAAAAAGAATGGGGGAAGCTAATTATTGCTATGTTGGAAAGAGAGAAGATGCTTCGACCAGAAGTTGAAAGGTGGGCTGATTATTTGTTTTATGGGCATGTTATTCCTGCCGGGTTGAAACTGCTCAATAGGATGCATTACATAACAAGCAGAGACACTTTAAACTTGAAACAGAGGTAGTCAAAATTTCCTTTGTAGAAATGAATTGTCGGGTGAGGCTCATTAATTGAATATTTCTTTTAAATTGAACAAATATCTGTACTTATAATTTATTCATATAATTATCAAGCAAGCTTATGCAGAGTTCTGTATTAAATAGATTAAATAGCAAGTATGTAACCATAACCTTGTCTAATGTTTTGCCCATCAGAATTTGGACAATTTGGGTAATTCCAGTTATCAAACGTTGCTTACAGTAAACAGTTTTCTCAAGGTTTATGTTTCAGTCCCGACCAACTTTTATTACGGTCACAGACCAGCAAACAGTAGTTAATACTTTCTGAAGTTTGCCAGGGCAATTATAGGATTGAGTTGGCTGCCACCATCTTTTTCTCAAAAGCCTCAGGAGAGTTAAAAAAAAAAAAAAAAGTGGCGGTTACCCCGTCTGAGATGGTAGACCAAGTCTCTTGGAAGGGCAGTCTTGGTAGATTGCCTCAGAGCTTTATGCCATGGTATCTGCTGACGGAAATTCATACCGATGCCAAGGACATTGTGTGCCATGAAGTCAAAGCAAACAGGCTGATTCCCCAAGGACACGTGCAGTCTTGGGAATCTTTTCGGGACTGCTTGAGCCTCCTGGATAATTACGAGAATTCGCATTATATTCCCTACTATTCTGAGGCAGAGAAGAAATGAAAGTTGTACCCTAAGCCAGAGGTCTCCAACCTTTTGTCCCCAACCTTTTGGGCACCAGGGACCGATTCTGTGGAGAAAGATTTTTCCACGGACTGGAGAGTGCGTGGTTTTGTGTGCTGGTTGCATCCCACGGATGGGGCTGTGCTTGTTTGTGTGGACCAGTTGCTGGCATGGCGCGGCCTGGTCCACAGACCGGGGGTTGAGGACCCCTGCCCTAAGCGCCCAAATAAATTTAACAGTGAAAAATAATGAATTCCCTATCCTTTTTCAAGAAAAAAATGAAAATCTTGCTTTGGCCAATATATGAGACAATGGCTTTGTCCATTCCACTGGTTACCATGTTCATCTTAAGTTTGATTACTTGCCCTTCAAGAGTTATGACTGATATTTGTTGCTACTGAAATATCCATTTTGTAGAAAGTAAACCAGCAAGGGTTTAGAGATTAGTTATTCTCTAAAGGCTGAGTTGTCAACAGCAGGTGAGATTGTTTCAAGCTTCTGTTGTTACCATACTATTCTTCTTGTATCAAAATATTATATATATATATATATATATATAGATAGATAGATAGATAGATAGATAGATAGATAGATAGATAGATAGATAGATAGATAGATAGATAGATAGATAGATAGATAGATAGATAGATAGACTGGTTGTGGATCTTAACCTGTTAATATTTTATCTTATGTATTAAAATTTTTCTCTCAGATTAAACAACCAAGAAACTTTTAGTTTGCCTTTTGATCTCTCTGACTTTGTTCAGATTTGCTTCCAGCTTAACGAAGCAAGAGAGCAAAAGCCTTACCCTGTTCATTCAGGGCTTTGTTTCTTCTTTACCTGGTAACCAAATGACCCCTCCCACTTTTGTATGTTAATGATTTGCCTCAGTATATATTGTGTTTATTGGGAAAACAAAAAGTTGGGGTAATCTGCGATCATAATTGGTAGGAAGGGGACTTGATAGGCAGATTGGGGAGGAACCTTGCTTGAGGTCTGTGGGGAAATGGATTAGCTGGGCCAGCTAGAAGTTCTTCATCCCTGATGTTCATGGAAATGGTGCTGTGCCTTAAGCCAGGTGTAGTATTTATTTTCTCCCATTAAGTCCATCTTTTTCATCTTGTCTGTTGTCTTATCTAAAGAAGTTTCTGTTTTGAGGGGAAATTAGGAAACATTAACTGTGTTTAAGAAGAGGCATGTAAAAGGCTTTGCTAGATACTCTGTATTTGGGTTGCAAAAGTCCATTTGATCACTAGATGTGAGCAAAGAGTTTTGAGTTTGCTCTATCTTTGCTTTCATCATTTTCATATATGATAAGATTTATCACAGTTTTCATATATGATAAGCCTAGTCTTAACAGTTTAAAATAGCATTAATATAAACTGGGGGTCAGTTACAGAATAGGGATTTGTTGAACAATAAGATTCATTATAAAATAATCTGCTGTTAAAGGAAGTGTAGTGCTGAAGGAGAAGCAGCCTCAATTCCCTTAATGAAATAAAGACTACAATAAGGCTAATAATAAACTTTAAAGAATTCTAATGGTGGGATATAATATTGATATTCCTTGCCAGCAAGAAATCTGAACACCTGATGTGTTGACTGACATTTTTGCTTGTACACATGCAAAATATTTTTAATGCCAAACAGTCAAAATAAAGATTCTACCACATTTTATAGAAAAAGTTATAGCAGTCAGTAAACCGGCATTAGTGTCCAAGTTTAGCCACTAGCTAGCCGAGTGCAAAAATAACCATTGACTCTGCAATTTTGATCTTTTCATCCCAATAAATGCACAGTGAATCTGTTTAAGTAGAACAAAAACATTTATAAATACATTCTTAATTTGAATTCTCTGCGAAGTAGTTTGTGCAAGATGAGCTATAGTCCTGGTCCTGTTTTGGCTGTAATATAAGCAATTATCGAAAGCACATGAAGTTGGAGCATAGCAGGATCAAAATGAAGACAGACCATTGGAGTCCCGTGTAAAAGTAAATATTAATATAATGAATCATTTCATTTAAAAAAATACTACAACTCTATAAAATGACTATTGATAATTTTTTTTTTACAACTTGGAATTGCAGATCTTTAAAAGTAAGATCTGTTTATCCTGTCCCATATCAGTTAGGTTTCTGAGATTGGATGACAGTTACCTAAAGGTATTTGGCACTTTTCCTCCAGTGTTAACGCCCTAATCATTCTGATTAGTCCCTACTTGTACAGGTACTTAAAGCTGGAGAAGCCAAGCCCACATTGGCATATATAGCTGAAGGCAAAATCTGAAGAGGAATCAGAATAATATTTACAGGGTTTTGAATATGCACACTAAAGTCTATTTAAGGATGCAATGGTGGAACTGCTCTTAAAGCTAACTCCTTTCTGATAGCTGTGCACATTTGCAGGCATTCTGCTTTTTTCAGTTTTCAAACAACCAAGAAGCTTTTTGGCTATGAAAAATGAATGCTAACAGTTATGGCTACCAGAGTAGTGACTCTTTTAGTAATAGCACTAGTACCCGAACCAGCATTGATTCTAATGAAAACTTCGTATCTGTTAACTGTGGTCCAACTCTTGTTAATTCGTGTATAAGCTTCGGCAATGGTCCAATGGAAGGATCCAGGTAGGTTTTGATATTACATTGCAGAATTTGGTTCAATTTTATTTGGTAACAGTTAATACTACTTTATTGTATGGAAAAAGGCATAATCAGCATTATGGGACCTGTCTTAACTTTGATGTCTTTAGGTTAGATATGCTGCAGCAAATTGCAAACAGAGTTCAGCGGGACAGCCTGAATTGTGAAGACAAGCTAATGCTTGCTCGAAATGCTACGCAGTCAGTAAGTAGTTTTGAATATCTAGTTTTCTTTTTACTTTTTTCTATATTGAAAACCCATGTGGATTATTGGATAAAAAATAGAAGGACAGCATCTTTGTTTAGATCTTGTACAATTAGATACTTACCCGATGGCCAAAACAAATCACACTCTATGGCTTCAGGTTTTGCATTTTTAAAACAGGAATTAATGATAACCGTTTTCACAATTATTTGGAAGATGAGAAGAATTATCTGTACTTATTAATAGCTCATTTTGGAGTACCATAGACATGTATCATATGTCATCATGCATGCAATGAATTGACTACCAGCATGATCTCCTTTTGCATATTATGCCACCTTTCTGGATTAAAAACATTTTAAAGTAGTATAAAGCTACTGTTTTAAATGTTTCAATCTCTGTCTGTGTCAATAAGGCATTGGAAACATATATTCTAAACATTTTTTTAAGGGAACACAGTATATGCTTATTATAATTTCACTGCAGTTTTGAAGGCTGTCAGTAAACTTAGAGGAGGTAGAGAATGCTCAGGAATATTGTATCTGCCAGAAAGGAAAAACAAATGCTAGATGTGCATTTATAGGCATTATTATTTCAAGTTAAGACTATGGAGTGCGTTCCCCCTATACATCCTGAATTTGATATTTGTTTTTAGTGTTCAAGAATAGGTAAGGGTTTTTTAAAATTGAAAATACATCAAAAATCAAGGAACTTAACAGCCCCGTACAAGTAAATGTCTCGTAAGGGATTATACTTTTCTTTTTTGCATTGATAGCTGCCTTATGAAATTCATGTACTATACTTATGGTAAATTTAAATTTTAAAATTTCAGGAAGCATGATGGCTCAGTGGTTAAAGATGCTGAGCTTGTCAGCTGGAGAGCTGACAGTCCGGGTTTGAGACCCAAGTGTTACATAACGGGGTGAGCTCCCATTACTTGCTCCAGCTCTTGCACACCTAATTCAAAAGCACGCAAATGCGAGTAGATAAATAGGTATCATTTTAGTGGGAAAGTAACAGCATTCCATGTGCCTTGGCTTACAGCAGTGTTTCTCAACTTTGACAATTTTAAGGCAGGTGGACTTCAACTCCCAGAATTCCACAGCCAGCATTGCTGGCTGTGGAATTCTGGGAGTTGAAGTCCACGTGCCATAAAATTGTCAAGGTTGAGAAACACTGGCTTACAGTCATGCTAACCACGTGACTGGCTCCCTTAGCTAAGAAACAGGGATGAGCACCGCCCCCTAGAGTTGGAAATGATTGGACAGGGGAAACCTTTACCCTTACCTTTATGGTAAATTTCATCTAGTAAAATGGAAAATCCACTTGTCTCATGTTTTATCCAGTAAAAAAAAAAAAAGCCTTTGTATCTATTTCAGAAAATAAGAAATCACGGCTGCTTAAGCAACCTTTTACAAAGCATTTTATTATAGAAAATAAAGTTAATTAATCACATTGATGGTAGTTTTCCAAAAGAGTTCTATATGTTCAGATATGTATTTCTGTTTATCTAATGGGGAAGCCACTATTTAATTACCCTACTGTTTTTGGAGAGAGCAATCTGTATTGAAAATTTGGCTTGATGTAATAAATAGTTGATGGTCTAAAATTAAACTGTTACAGATATATTTCATGATAATTGAAATATATACAACGTATTTTTCAGACATAAACATCTAAAAGATTTCTAAGTAAGCATAATTATTGTCTGTCCCAAAAAGATTATTAGTGTAGAAAAACATAAGTATCTCATGATGAATTTATTTTCCAGTTAAATACATGTGTGATTTTTTTTCCCCCCTGTTTAAACGTAGGATAGAAAACGATTAGAAGCAGGCCTGCAGTTCCAGAATGAAGCTGAGATTGCAGGCTATCTACTTGAGTGTGAGAATCTTCTCCGCCAACAAGTTATGGATGCCCAGATTCTTACTGATGGAAAATATTATCAGGCGGATCAATTGGTCCAAAGGTACATACGTTAAGGTTGCTATTTAGGAATAGGAGCGCCTAGCTTGTTTCATGCCAGTGACTATTCTGCTCTTGGCAATTTCTGTAACTTTAACAGAAATTGGTTTGACTTACTTGGGTCTGTGTTCAAGTTGTTTAAACAATTTATTTAAATGATGCTAAGTTTGACTTTAATTAGGATATCCATTCATCTATGCTAGAGCTAGAGAGTGATTTCAAAAGTAATGCATAGATAATTCTGCTTTAAAGTCTGATTTCTGAAATCGTTTCAGCTGCCCTGTAGCCCAGAGTAAGATAATTCTACCATATAATAATAAGTATTGCTTAGGATATCCTGTATTCAGCATGTGTCTAGCAATGTCTTTGGCTACTTTTATGACACACTGCCACTTACGTAAAAATATATAAATGAGTGCTTCTGTAAATCAGAATTGGACAACCTTTTGGCTGTAAAATCTTCACCAGTTCCTAGGTAAGGCCAGTACCAGCAGGAACATTGCCATTGTCAGTATTTTTGCTGGATAAAAAGAAAATCTCTCATTTCTCATTTTTTTCTCAGCAAAAGCTATTCCCTGCAGCCTACCAAGCTGAGACCTCATGTTAGCGAGAGCGCAATCTGCTCTGGGTGGTTTCCAGGGGCATATGTGTGGCTCACCTATAACAGGTTGACTTTTACTATCATGTGTGGACTAATATTGTTACCAGTATGTAGAACAGCCTTTTTGATGCTGTATGCATTTTTTCCCATTAGTAGCCATATGGTTTGATTCCTACTTTTATAGTCACTTTTGCACTTCCTTCTCAAAGATGCACAAATGATGTCTTAAACAAGCTGTCCTTTTCACATGAGATGAGCATGTTTGCAAGCATATTTAGGAATCACATTTGAGATAAAATTGATTATACAGGCTTATTGGTCTTGTTATATGATTACATTTTATATCCAAAAACATACAGCCTGACATTACCATTATAGCATGAATGCATCAATTTTTTTGCAGTGCATAAAAGGCTTTATTGGAACAAACTCTTTTATTATGATAGTTAAATTAATTATTTAATTCTGATTTCTACTATTATTTTTGACCAATGTTGTTCATGAAAATTCTGAGGCAATATCTAGACAATTCCTATGGTGAATGCTTTTGTCTGTTTTAATGCAGGGTTGCAAAACTCCGAGATAACCTTATGGCCTTAAAAGCAGAGTGTTCTTCAATCTACAACAAAGGGAGAATACTAACAACAGAACAGACCAAGATGATGATATCAGGAATAACACAAAGCTTAAACTCAGGATTTGCACCAAGCCTAAGCCCTAATTTAAACTCTGGACTAAGTCAGGGTTTGTCTCCCTCCTTGACCTCATCCAGTCTGACGTCAGGTTTATCATCAGGTTTTTCCCCAAGAGTGACACCAGCCATCACCCCAGCATACACTCCAGGCTTCCCACCACGGTTAATTCAAAGCTACGTAACTGGAGTTGACACAGGGGCACTTCAAACGCTCAAATTGACACAGATTCGGAAGCCTCTGATGAAATCGGCTTTCATTGATCAGAATTTAACAGAAGAAGAAGTCAATATGAAATTTGTCCAGGACCTCTTAAGATGGGTGGATGAAATGCAGGTAACAACTTGACGTGTATGGTCTTCATCTGAACTTGATCTTTTTTTCTTATCTATTCAATGGATCAAGTTTAATGTTTTTTAACCTCTCCTTTAACAGGTACAACTTGACCGAGCCGAATGGGGTTCAGATTTGCCAGGTGTTGAAAGCCATGTTGAAAATCACAAGAATGTTCACAAAGCTATTGAAGAATTTGAATCAAGTCTTAAAGAAGCAAAAATCAGTGAGGTACAGTATGAAAACACCTGGTGACTGTACATATTTTAAAAAGATGCATAGGTTTTAACTTGTTGTATAACTGCACTTGGCTTAAAGAAAAATGTTATATTAATTAAATGAATAATAAGAAATGCACAATCCTCCTGTTAACTGTTGTGTGTCTCGTGGCTTTTCTTTTCTTTCTTTAAAAAAAGTCTCTAATCCAGTTTGTTCTACCCAGATCCAAATGACTGCTCCCCTCAAACTCAGCTATACAGAAAAATTGCACAAACTGGAGAGTCAATATGCAAAACTCTTGGTAAGATCATTGTCAAGAAGTCCAGGTCTCAGTGGGATGTTCCTTGGCAACATAAGCAAAATCAAACTTTGTTTTTTTGTCTTCTCAAGAATGCCTCCAGAAATCAGGAAAGACACCTTGACACCCTTCACAATTTTGTATCACGTGCCACCCGGGAACTTATATGGTTGAATGAAAAGGAGGAAGAGGAAGTTGCACACGACTGGAGTGAAAGGAATACAAATATAGCAAGGAAAAAGGAATATCATGCCGTAAGATTTAGTAAAAATAAAGCTGAACGTATTCTTTCCTACTTGCTGCAGGTTTCAAAAGCTTTTTTTTTTTTTAATTTGAAAGGATCTGATGAGAGAACTTGACCAGAAAGAAGAAGTTATTAAATCAGTTCAGGAAATAGCAGAACAATTGCTCTTTGAAAACCACCCTGCGAGATTAACTATCGAGGTAGGTTATTAAATCTGGCTTTAGAAGCACTTTTTGTAGAATTCCAAATTTAAAGCAACAGTTTTAAATAACTTTCTGCAGAATTGCAGCCTTCCTCAATTGGTTGTATGTGTGTTGTGTTTATTCTAACACCAGCCCTTTCCCCCCCCCCATCCCGGCTTTTGTTAAAAACCTTGGAGAAAATTCATATACAATCTTGTAACATTATTTCCTGTTTAGTCCTCTGCTGTATTTCTGTTTCCAACGGTAGTCAATAACGGGCATCACTGATTTCATCTTGTACACATTAGAGCTCCAGATAACTATTTATGACTGGGTTCCCCTTTTCCATTTTGTGTTATTGCTGCATTGCTGCACATAAAATTTTCTTGCAGTATACATTTAGTTGAGTACGAAAGGTTATGACTCAGTGCATTTGTTAGTCTTTAAAATTCAGCAGGACACCTTGCTAGTGTCCTAAAATGAATGAAACAAGGTTACAAAACATGGCCCTCCTGTTTAGGGTTCCAACTAGCCCATTGTGATTTCTTCCTGAATTCTTCCTGATTTCTTCTATTGTATTCTGTTCTATTTCTTGCCCTCACTGGCTGTGTTTCACTGCTGATTGTTTTGAGTTACTTAAAAAGGAATACAGAGCGCTCTTTTCCCCCCATGAAGAACTCCAGTATGATAGCACCATCTAACGTTTGAGTAAAAGTGAATCTAGTACACCTAGAGGGGGGCAGCATTTTTCTTGCTCATTTGTAATAAGGAGCCTCTCCCTATAAATGTTTCATTGCTGTTATGCATCACAATTATATACTATTACAGATCTTACTTGGACATTACATTTATTTTGGACTGGAATTAAGAAATATACTGTAGGTCAGTGCTTTCAACCGTAGCAACTTTAAGAAGAGTGGATTTCAGCTCCCAGAATTCTTCAGCTGGCCATGGGAATTGAAATCCACTCATCTTAAACTGGCTAAGGTTGAGAAACACTGTTGTAGAATAATCTCTTGCAACCAAAGACTGTAGCTAGCACATATTAGGTTAGTTGATTCTGTATCTCTGTCAGTATGGATATTCTACAACAATACTTAAAAGCTAGAAGCCGATGATCTTTGTGATCTGTCCTTGTTATTAAACAATACGCTCTACCGGATTCTGTAGTGAGTGTCACTAGTTTTAGCCAACTTAACAGGCAGCCACTGTCCAATAATATAAGCTGGAGCCAAGGTGTTTAGATTCTAAACTGCAGTCAACCTGACTTTTCAGAAAATTTTTACTATCTTTGTAGAGCAATTTGTATTTTAGAGAGTGCTTTTGTTCTACTGCATACAGTTGAGACAAAGGCATTAGGAATGGGGGAGGGAAAATCTATTCATATTCTTTGTCTCATTAGAGAGAACTGGGGCTGAGGTTGCCTAGACACACATGGTTCTTTATCTCTTTCTGTATCCTTTAGGCCTACCGAGCTGCAATGCAAACCCAGTGGAGCTGGATTTTACAGCTCTGCCAATGTGTTGAACAGCATTTAAGAGAAAACACTGCATATTTTGAGGTATGGATTAAATTGAAGATACTGTGACGTGATTGCAGATTTCAGCTGTAGCTATACCACCAAGAAGGAAATTTTAATGTGGTTCTCAGCTAAGCAGTGTAGAGGAATGTTTAAATTTCATAGATGCGAAAAATGTGTTAAGACAAAGATACAGTTTTTACCCATTTAATTCAGATGTTTCAAAGAGACTATTTTTTTATGTTATTCCAGTAGTGTGATTCTACTGGTTCAGTATATTATATATAAATCTTTTTTTTGAAAAAACAGTAACCATTTCTGTTTTGATATCTTTTGATCTCTCTCTCCCTCTCCCCCCTCCCTCCCCCCACTCTCTGTGTATAATAAACATATTTTCAGTAGTGCCTTATTAAATGAAAAGTTTGTTTCATTCTAGTTTTTCAGTGATGCCAAGGAGGCTCTAGATTACTTGAAGAATTTACGAGATGCAGTACATCGAAAATACAATTGTGATAGATCCAGCAGCATTCATAAACTAGAAGATATGATCCAAGAGTCTATGGTAGGAATACGAATACATTAGTTGATTTTACTCTTCAAGTGTGTGTTAATACTTTCTAAGATATTATGCCTTTAGCCAGGATGATGCATGCGTATGTGCACACACACAGACATGTGTGCAGTGTCTATTAGCAGAACCTTTTCTTTAACTGAGAAGAGGCATTCTCTGTAAAAACAAAGGTAGTTTGCATTCATTAATTTTCAGTATTGGAAGCTTATTAAACAGCCTGTATGAATCAAGCTATGCCCAAAATAATCATTATTCTTGAAACTGGAACAAATAAACCTAAATACTTGGGTGAAATTCTTTCAAATTGATCATAGCTTGCCTTGTTTAAGAACTGTTGTCATTTCTGCCAAATACGACTATAATTACTTGGGTGAAATTATTTCAAATTGATCATAGCTTGCCTTGTTTAAGAACTGTTGTCATTTCTGCCAAATACGACTATAATAGTAATTATTGTACAAAGCCTCATTCCTTAAAACGATTCCCTCCTGATGTGTTGCAACAACGGTTACTAGGATTCCAGCCATATGAGAACCCCGAGAATGGGAAATAATCTCAACAAATCTGCAAATCATCAATTTGGAAAAGGCTGTCAAAAATGTCCCCGATTGTGCCTCTTGTGAATTACATCTTGGAAAATAAACCAAACTAGAAAAAAAAAAACACCAAGAAAACCTAAAACACTTTCAAGAAAAGGGTGCTTAATTTTTAACTGCTTTCAATATGTTTCTTCTTTAATTTGGCATCCAGGAGGAAAAAGAACAGCTCCTGCAATACAAGAGCACCGTGGCAGGCCTTGTGGGCAGAGCAAAGGCAATAGTTCAGCTAAGGCCGAGGAATCCCGAAAATTCCCTAAAAACGTCCATCCCAATTAAGGCCATCTGTGACTATCGACAGATCGAGGTTGGAAGCTTTTACCATCTTTGAATCAGTTATGGGGAGGAAGAAGACCCTGGGCTGGTATTGATAACAAACTCCTGGAAGCCTCCTCCAGAGCTTATTACCACAGTTGGGGGATAAATCAGTTTTACTTCGTTCTTTTGTCACTTTTTTTTGTTGCATCAGTTTTTGACTTGAGAAAGGCTTATTCAGTTGTTCTGGTTTTCTGTTAACAACTAGATAACCATTTACAAAGATGATGAATGTGTCCTGGCAAGCAACTCCCATCGAGCAAAATGGAAAGTGATCAGCCCAAGTGGCAATGAGGCCATGGTTCCCTCTGTTTGTTTTACCATCCCTCCTCCCAATAAAGAAGCCATAGACACTGCAAATAGGTAGGAAATTACATGCACCAAACCCATATTAATGTCACTTGCTTTTTAAAATAATTCTGAAAAAATGTATTTAGTCTAGGAAATTTATTACCAGTTCATTCTGAAGACTGTCTTGTGTGATATCGCTAACATAATCCCCTTGCGTTTTATGCATTTCAGAATTGAGCAGCAATATCAGAATGTCCTATCTCTGTGGCATGAGTCACACATAAATTTGAAAAGTGTAGTTTCTTGGCACTATTTAACAACTGAAATTGAAACTGTTCGAGCAAGTAATGTTGCTTCGGTAAGTTCTTTGTGTATTCCAACTCTCATTTGAATACCTAGTTAGTTCCCCACTCCCCACCCCACCTGCGTATTCAGTATTTCAACAATATGACCTTACAATGAAGAATTTACATTTTACCGTTACAATGACATGTAAAGATTGAGAAGAGCTTCGTATTTTATATAGCAGACATGATGCTAAACATGTACCACAGTGGTTCTCAACCTGTGGGTCGGGACCCCATTTGGGGTCGAACGACCATTTCACGGGGGTCGCCAAACAAGGCTGTCCGCCATTTTTCCCCCTTTTCTTTGGCCACGCCCCTGGTACCTGGTGATGTATAAGTGGTTGGGGGTCACCACAACATGGGGAACTGTATTATGGGGTCGCGGCATTAGAAAGGTTGAGAACCACTGATGTACCAATATTACATTGGAATTTGCTGTAAAAATGGTAAAAAAATTCTGACCTGTGACATTATCCAGTAGATGTGGTTCCATGGATGTTTGTCTTTATGCACTGTATGTATATACTGTGGGCATTGTATTCCTGAGAGGCAACTTTCTATAGGAGATGACCAAGCTGAGCCTGAAGGAGGGATCAAGCACATCATCAGTCTTGAGTCCCTTCGTGCCCACAAGAGATCAAGTCCAGCCCACCTTGACTTCCATTGATTCTTATCTCCCACTAATTTCCCTTGGCTGTTAGTAGTTCAGATTTTTGCAGAGAGCTTAGCCTGCATTAAATCTTTATACCCATTTGAACTGCCTTGATCTTCTGACCTCCCCGACGCTTGACATTTCCTGGTTTATTGAGTCAGAATTTCAGTAACTGATGGTTTAAGGGCTTTATGAATAAGAGCTTTAAGGCAGTCTGTGCTCTATATTTATATCATGGAAAGGGAAGGAATGTTACCGATCGATGGAAAGATTTTAAATTTTATTCCAATTTTAAAACATTTTCTAGATCAAAACACTCTTGCCAGGTGAACATCAGCAGGTTTTAAGCAACTTGCAGTCTCGCTTTGATGACTTCTTGGAAGACAGCCAGGAGTCCAAAATCTTCTCTGTTGCTGACATTGCCCAGTTGGAAAGGGAAGTGAATGTATGCAAGCAGTACTACCAAGAGCTCCTTAAGTCTGCTGAGAGAGGCAAGTGTATTAATCATCCCAGAAAGGAGACTCTTATAAGTTCCTTGATGTGATATATTGTTGTAGATGCAGTATTTTCAGCTTTGTATGCGTCAACTACAGTATTTTAATTGGATCATAGCAACACTAGTGCAAAGTTGAAGATTTTTGGTTGCCAGTAACAGAAAAGAGGGACCACAGTCTTCTGTATCCTTTCTTTCCAGGTTTCCTTGTCATGTGATCAATTATTCACATGAGTTAGCTAGCTAGTAATATAGGTTGCACATCTGATATATGTGTGTAGAAGCAGGAAGCTTCTTCTAAGATCAGGAAAATAAAATCACACTTGAAAAAGAAGAAACTGACCCCTACCAATGGCTTACAGTTTGCCTCCTTTTCATTATTGTTGCTGGTAGTTCACTTTCCACATGTGGTTGTAGAAAAAACATCTGGCAATTTTGCATAAGTGCTCTCATTTGAATAGCATACATTCTGATTTCATTTAAGGCTCTAAAATGAATACTGGAATATTGTATATATTGTTGGAGAACAGATTGTTACTTTAGCAGGCTGATGTGGAAATAAATTTTGCTTAGTGCTGATGAAGAACGTATCAAGATATTGTTAGACTGCCAATATAAATTACTAGGAAGAGTATATCTACTATTCTCTTTAAAAAATATCTGTATTTGCATAACATAACTCTATAGTCTTCTATCAAAATTTTTGAACATTCATTCTTACATGTATAAACATCTCCATTCTTAAAATGTTAAGCTTCAAATGCCTATATAATTCTAAAAAGCTGGGTGTATATATTGTAATTATTTATTCACATTCTAATGATACAGAAAAGCACAAGGGAGCAGATTATAGCTAATTAAAATGAACTTAGGTCATTCTATAGAATAATGATATGCTGGGTTGAAATAAGAGATAAGGGATTTATTATTGTAGCCTTAATATGACCCTACAGTAGAATCATCTCAAGAAGAACCGGGTGTAGGCAATCCAATTAAGCAATCCAGTGCAAATGGAATTATAAGCATCTGTGTTTAACAGGATAATCACTTTTTGTAGAAATTGCTTGGATTCATAAAAAAAGCTAAAAATAAGAACATTGAAGAGAAGTTACATTATTTACACATAAAGATTAATTCTTATGCAACCTGTTTCTGTAATGTTAAAATTTCTGGGAAATTTTGCGATGCCTGAAATTCAAGATGACTTTTTTCTTTCAAATAGAAAAGATATTTTAAAGGTGGTAGAAAAGGTTAGAAACAAGAAATACATAATACCGTTCCTTTTTTCCCCCACATCACATTATTATCACATCCAGTATTTCTCATTATCACTATCCAGAACAGTTAGTTGCACATTATTTTGGATTTCAAGGAGAGCTATATTTCTAAACTTTGAAACTTTAATTGTGGAATATCATGTGGTAGCAGATGAAAAATAAGATCGGTTGGCTTAACTTACGTTTGCATTGGTTTCAACAGAGGAGCATGAGGAATCTGTTTATAATTTATACATCTCAGAAGTTCGAAACATCAGACTTCGATTGGAGAATTGTGAAGATCGTTTGATTAGACAAATTCGAACTCCTCTGGAGAGGGATGACCTACCTGAAAGTGTGTTCCGTATCTCTGAACAAGAGGTAACTCTTCTCAATTTGCTGATGAAAACTACCTTTTTGAACATTGAACATGAGCCGAGGTGGCGCAGCAGGTAGAGTGCAGTACTGCAGGCCACTTTAGCTGACTGTGGTCAGCAGGTCAGCGGTTCAAATCTCACCGGCTCAAGGTTGACTCAGCCTTCCATCCTTCCGGGGTAGGTAAAATGAGGACCCAGATTGTTGGGGGCAATGTAAATATATATATATACATTGCTTACTGGTGTACACCGCTTAGAGAGCGCTTGCACTTAAAGCGGTATATAAGTCTCCTAAATAAATAAATAAATAAATTGTAATCAAGTTCGAACAACTTTTATTGCATTAAATTAATTGGATAAAACTACATCTGTTGAGGGTTTTTGTTTTAAATTCTCAGAATAAGTGCAAATTGTTACAGATTGGAATCAAAGTCTTCTGGAAGAATAAATAGAATTCATCTCTGCACCGTCAAAATTCGTATGAGATACAATATACTCCAAGGAAGTATTTAGTGATCCTATTAGAGCTTTCCCTTCCTAATCAGGCACAGTTCCAATCCAGATTGTTACTATTTCCTCCCAAACCTATCATTACTCGTAAAGTAAAGAAAAGAAATTGGGCCTTCTTGCTTTCTGAATCCTCTGATAGTTTCATTTGACCTGGTCAGATGAAGATCATTCAGACACAAATACAAACTATGGTGCCAAAATTGAGACAACATTATAAGGATTGGCTTATAATTTGTGAACATAATTGGTTTATCATTCTACAGCTTGCAGTTTAGCTTAGTGTGCAAACTTAGATATGACAATGTGGTCAATATGAAATACATTTAGTTAGGACATACTTTCCATGTGGCTTTTCTTGAAATACACCTGAGATAGAATTAAAAGCAACGCTGTATCTTTTGTATTTGGAAATGTTACAGTTATCACATAATTTTTTTTGCCAAGTTGTTCAAATAACCACTTTTGGGAAGAAAAAAAACAAAGGACCTAAACCAGGCATGTCCAACTCCTGGTCCACAGGCTGCATATGGCCCTGGGCAGCTAGTAATGTGTAATTACTAGCTGTCCAGATTGTAAAAAACAATAATAAAGGATTTTTCTTACTTATGTACATTATGGCCAAAGACAATTTCACTTCACTCAATGCAGTCTGAGCAAGCCAAACATTTGGACACCTAAGGCCTAAAGCAGCGGTAGGCAACCTTGGCTCTTTTATGACTCGTGGACTTCAAATCCCAGAATTCCTGAGCCAGCCATGTTGAAGTCCACGAATCATAAAAGAGCCAAGGTTGCCTACCCCTGGCCTAAACCATTACATCAGAAATTAATATGGAGTTGTAGATAGGTTTCTAATTAGGGAGAAAAAGAGAAAAAAGATGTAGGCTTTCATGTTGTTGTGGTCTTTCATTTACAAACAGTTACAAAAAAAGAGATGATGGACATTTTAACCAACCAATACAGTAGGAAGGAATAAGCTGGCAAGGAGGGAGGGGTTAATCAGTCCTCCCAAGTTGGATCAAGGCTGGTATTATGCTATTGTAGCTGTTGCTTGTGGTTCTTAGGGACTTCAGCTCATGCTCTTCCCTTAGTTTAAGAATATGATTTGTGAGAATCCTTTACTATATGAAAATAAGCCTCACCCTTTTTTTCTGTAGAAGCTCAAAAAGGAGCTGGATCGACTCAAAGATGACTTGGAAACAATCACAGATAAATGCAATGATTTCTTCAGCCAAGCTGCTGGTTCCCCTTCAGTCCCAACTCTGCGCTCTGAACTTAATCTTGTCATTCAGAACATGAATCAGGTTTATTCCATGTCTTCCATTTACATAGAAAAGTAAGTAAGGCCTTTTATTGGACATGATCACTGTTATCGTAGCAATATTTTTTAGCTATGAAAATAGCTGTGTGAAAATGTGAATGTTGAAAGGCAGATTTCTTCTTTCTAATGGATAGAATTAAATTGAATTCAGATATATTAAAATATTTTGAAAACATTGTTATTTTGAGAGGTTATTCGTACACGTTTTATTTGTTTCAGGTTAAAAACTGTAAATTTGGTGCTCAAAAACACTCAAGGAGCTGAAACTCTAGTAAAACAGTATGAGACTAAACTTTGTGAGGAAGACCCATTAACTGCTGACAAGAGCAATATTGAGAACCTGATGGGTACACTGAAGGTATGAATATGGGTATTAATTTGGTATTGGTATTAATATGCCTTTTAATTATGTTAAGATAAAACACTTTGCAAGCTACATAATGAGTGACTTTTGAGAAGGTACCAGTGAAGGAGAATATTTGTAGCTCAGGGTTGAAATGAGGGGTCCTTGGTGCTTCCTGAGCTTGCTTGTTTTCTTGTGGAGGTTTCATTACCCCAACTAGGCAACATCATCAGTGCTAGTAAGGAGTGTTGTTTGCTGTCTGTTTATATTCTGGTGTCTTGCCTGTCTGGATGGGTGGGGGTGGTCTTGGGGATTCTTTGGTTGGGCTGTTTAGTAATGGCTCTGATTGTTGGTCTGGTGGTGACCCTGGAGTTAATCTATGCTGATCTGAGTGCTGATTACTGGTTTTCATGAACACCAGCTGGCAGTCAAAAGGCATGACAAAAATACTTTAATTTCACAACATATAGACAGATTTTAACCATAGTTTCAATTGAGAAAATGTGACAATCCTAGACCAGGCTAAATCCAAAAATGCCAGGGAATTTCTAGAAGCCTAGCATTCTGAAAAATCAGCCATCAATAGACACATAGACATTAACAACATCTATAGATTATGCAAAAGAGACACTCAACCAGCCCTAAAGAGAAAAAGACTCCACCAGTAATCAGCACTCAGATCAGCATAGATTAACTCCAAGGTCACCTTCAGACCAACAATCAAGGAAGCAACATCCCAATCAAGAAATTGCCACAGAACCATTAGTAAATAGCCCAACCAAAGAATCCCTAAGACCACCAACCAAGACAAGCAAGACACCAGAATATAAACAGACAACAAACAGCACTGCTTACTAGCACTGATGATGTTACCTAGTTAGGGTAATGAAACATCTGCAAGAAAACAAACAAGCTCAGGGAGCACCAAAGACCCTGCATTTTGAGAGAGTGAATACTTGCAAATGTGAAAATGGAATTGGAATCACAGATAAATGGCTGATAAAATATAATCAGGTCAAATGATTGTAGATGTCATTCCATTGTATCACTTTATTAGAAACTGAGCTACATATTACACTGACTGATAGAAAGAACAGTCCAAAGCTGCCAATTTCAAATATTGAAGTCTTTCTTCCAATCTCTGGCCTTAAAGACAAAAATAGTTGAAGTAATCTGTTAAAAAAAGTATTTCCCTTTTCTTGCCTAATATCCATAATAAAGACATTTTTCCAGGAAAAATGTAGCCTAGGCTTTTCTCCTTGCACTCATTTTCCCTACCTTTTGGGAATATTGAAAAATATTAGCTTCCTATGGAATAAGCTCTGGAATACTTAATTGTGTCTCCATGCTACATGATAAGAATACTGTAAATATTACAATATTACATGTATTTGGCAATATTTAGTAAAGTGAATATGTTTGTTTGACATACTAAAGTATATCCCCATGATTGATTATAATGTAGTAGTCCTCTCTTATCTATTAACTCACAAATGTGTGAATTATAGTTCTTACTATCCTTACCCAGCATATTGATTGACTATGTTGATTGAGAATAGTAATGGCAGTCTGATACATTGGGGAGGGTTGGGTTTGGAGCCTGAATATGGCATTTGGGAAGATGCCACAAGGAACAATATTGTCTGTTTGTCATCACATACTTTATTCATTAGCAATGGAGAGCTGAAGTTGATGAAAAAAGAGAAGTATTCCATGCCTTAGAAGATGAACTCCAGAAAGCGAAAGCAATTAGTGATCAGATGTTTAAAACACACAAGGAACGTGATCTTGACTTTGACTGGCACAAAGAGAAAGCAGATCAGTTAACTGAGAGGTGGCAGAATGTTCATTCTCAGATTGAAAACAGGTTAGTATTTTCTTTTTAAAAACTGCCTTGACAAGAATAAACTCATCAAGGGAGTATGAAATATTCTCATTGCATAATACTGTACTGTGGGGTTGTAGCTGCCATTAATTTGGAAGATGATACTTTGATAGTGATAGAAATAACATTGGAAAGAAAGTGACAAAATAGGCATCTCTAAATGATATGCAGGATGGCAGTCGATCTGTCTATCATTATGTAAACTCAATGAGGTCAGTAAAAGTTGAAGTTGCCCTGTATTTGCTCTTTTCCTCATATCACCTTCCTCCCAGAGCACTGTTCTCAGTGACTCTCTTTTCAGCAGAGAAGTGAATTATACCCTACAGAAAAATAAGCTGTGAGGGAGAGGATTCAGCGTTGCCCCCCTTTTTTTCCTACAGTGATATCTCCACTCCATTTTATATGTGTGTTTAGGTCAAACCTGGGACTAAAGCAGTTGGGCCTACCATTTATTAGAATAATGCTGAAGTTCAGTTCATGAATAGGGTGAGAAATAGAGGAGTAAGGAAACTTATGGATTACATTTTCAAGATGACTGCTTTTTAGAATATAAAAGTGTGTAGACATTAATTAAAAGTAATTGCTAGGCTTTTACATTTGAAATACTGGTTTCAAAATTAATTGTATTCTATAATAAACAATTACACTGAATTAGTCAATCTGGACGTCCTGTAATAGAAATGGAAACCACTGCAGGCAATAGTGCTTTTGTGGCTTTTTCCAGGAATGATTCTACAGTTTACGAGTGTGGTACCTGTCTGAAACTCCTTCAGTATCTATTTTCCTGGCTGCCATTGATTCTGAGAAAAGATGCAGCTGCTTTGATGAGTTGGAGATGGATGCTATGTGAATGTCCCTGCTCCCACTGTAGCACCATATTTTCTTTTGAATCCAAAGCACTGCATAGCCGCATTAATTATACCTATCGCTTTAGTTCAGTTGCATTTAGCATAACATTTAATTATTGCCTACTGTTCCTTAGTCATTGTATTTATATGTTTGCGTAGGAAACAGGTATATAAAACTTGGCAATACAATGTGATATAATTGACAGAATAGTATTTTCTATAATGAACTTGAATTTAATGAGCTCATGAAAAAATACTGATTTTTTATTCCTGGTTTCCACATTGCAGTTTCCAAATTTACCTAATGAGAAATAAGTTCAGAGAATAGCCCTCCAGTGGTGGTGGTTTAGAACTGCATGATAATTTTAAATTACACTTTTTATTTATTTGTAATCATTCCTGCTTATTCAAATTATTTACTGCCTGGCATTTCAAACGAGGGACAGCCAGAGGTCTCACCTCCCCCTGTCCCACCCCAAAAAATTGATATGGATCATTATACTGATTTTAGTCTTTATGGAAAGATGTCAGATTATCTAGAAGGTTCTGCTCCTTGGTATATATCTTATAGAAAAGATAATTTCTTGATAATACTTAGCTCAGTTATAGAAGTTATGCTTTCACTGAAATGTCAAAATTTTGTTTTAATAGTTTTGCAGTTCTTCTGTATCAATCCTGAGAAAAGTAGTTAATGAAAGATAATCGAGTGGCATCTTTCCTTTGGCATGAATTTACTAGTGAACTCCAGCAAGCACACACCCTCAGTTTTTGCCCTTTGTTAATCTATTACATGAGGAAAATAAAATGATTTATCTTAAGGTGTTCTACAACTGGAGGATATGTGCCAAGTATTACTACATCTTTATATAAAAAGGCAGCTACTGCAGTGTTGCATTAAAATAACCATTTGTTCATTTCTGAAATGGCTTTCCTGTCAACTATAGGTTGCGTGACTTGGAGACTATCAATAAATCACTAAAGTACTACAGAGATACTTATGGTGCACTGGATAACTGGATTAAACAAGTTGAAGAAACACAGCAAAAATTTCAGGAAAACCCACCCCAGAACAGTAAAGCTCTGGCGAAACAGCTAAATGAACAGAAGGTACAATCATGAAAAGTTCCATAGTATCACTTAAATGAACTGAATTAATAATTCAGCTTCATTGATTGATTGTGCACCCTTTAATCATTTTTTTTACTTCTAGCAATCACATAGATCTATCGGTTCCTAACCTGGCCATTTAGGTCTTCCCATAGTGAACTCATTATTATCATCATTGTAACTAAATTCATCCTCTTCTCTTTCCATCCTTCCCAGCCTTAGATCCTTTTCCAGATTGCTAGGTCTTCTGCATAATTTGATTTTGATCATCTGTGACTCAAGAAAGAACTTTGGGTTGATTTGGTTGAGGATCTTCTGGTTTGTTTTCTTGGCTGTTCGTGGTAGTTTTAGGAGTCTTCTCTAACACCAAGCTAAAAGGCATCAATACTTTTAACCTGCATTTTCAAAGTCCAATTAAGCTAAAGAGCAATGTTCATTTCAACTATTTAAAACCATCTCATTTTAAACGCTGTATTATAATGTTGGCATATGGTTTGAAATAGTTTGATAGCATATGTCAGTGATGGCGAACCTTTTAGAGACCGAGTGCCCAAATTGCAACCCAAAACCCACTTATTTATCGCAAAGTGCCAGGGCTGCATCAGCATTGTGGTGCCTTCATGGGGGGGGGAGGGAGGTGCCTCTGAGTGCCGCCTCTAGCACACAAAAATCGGGGGCACAAAAATGGGCCACCATGCTGCAAGGCGCAAAAACAGCCATGCCGTGGGGTGCAGATACAAGGCGTTGCACCACGCAAGAATGGGGCAGGGCTAGTGAGTATCACGCAGGCACTAGCCCCGCCCCATTTGCAGCACATGCGTGCTCGCGGCCCTGTGCACGCATGCATGCATGTAAAATGCTTCCCCCTCCCTTTTCTTCCAGTCCAACAATTGACAATGGTTGGTGACCTCTGCTCTACCACCAATACTCGAGCTTGTTAGTTGGCCACTTCGCCTCCTTTGTGCTGGGCGGGGCTCCTGCTCCGGGCAGCAGTGATGGCCTGATGCACCTGCTGCTGGCGGCGGTGGCACATGTGCCAACAGAGAGAGCTCTGAGTGCTGCCTTTGGCACGTGTGCCATAGGTTCACCACCACTGGCATATGTAATTCTTAACAGATGAAAGAAACAGATTCAGTAGATCTAAGCAACATAATGCTTTTCTCTATTTGTTTGCTTAAAGTTACTTAGGAGGAGGAACATAGAAAATGAATGTCTTAAAATAGTTAAAAAAAAGTACTGTATATTGAATGCCACTACTTATTTCACAGCTGCTGGTGTCTGAAATAGAGATGAAACAAAACAAACTAGATGAATGCCAGAAATACTCAGAACAGTATTCAACTGCAGTAAAGGTAAACCTGCAATTGTGTGTGTTTACTTATCAAAGGGAAAAATAACTGAGGATAAAGGCAGTCATTGACTTCCAACCATTCATTTAACGACTGTTTGAAATTACGAGATTGCTGAAAAAAGTGACTTATGATCAGTCTTCGCACTTATGACTGTCACAACGTCCCCACAACCACTTGATCAAAATTTGGGCCCTTGGCAACCAAGGATGTGGTTTACAATGGTTGCAACATCCTGGGATCACATGATTGCCATTGGTGAGTTTCTCAGCCGGTTTCTGGCAAGCAGAGTCAGTGGGAGAAGCCAGATTCACTTAATGGCATGTGATTCACTTAACAACTGCAGCGGTTCTCTTAACAAAGGTGGCAAAAGTTGTAAAACTAGATGCAATTCACTTAACAAGTATATTTTACTTAGCAAAGGAAATTCTAGTCCCGATTGTGGTGGAAGTCAAGAAACTACATGTATTAAAACTGTGACAGTTGTCTTTTTGCCATAGTTGTTGCCTGGAAATTTGGGGCTGCTTCCTCTTGTTATTACTCCTCTCCCCATTGTGTAGGGATCTTCACTAGTGTTGCAGGAATGACCATCCTCAGCCTGAGACAAATGTTTTTTATATTACCAAAGCAATATACAATGACATGAGAGAACCTGCTTTTCCCCAGCTGTGGTAACTCTAGAGTTCAAGAGGAGGGTTCAGCCCTTGTTATGTTCAGGTTTTACTACACTAGTATCATGGCCTGTTGTAATGAACTGTGTTTATACTCTCTGATGGATCCTTAATATGGAACATACGATTTATAGTTTTTATGTCCCCTACCCCACCTCCTTCCTCTCTCTCTCTTTTTTGGGGGGGGGATAGGATTATGAGTTGCAAACAATGACATACAGAGCCATGGTTGATTCCCAGCAAAAATCACCTGTAAAACGCAGAAGGATGCAAAGCTCCTCTGACTTCATTATACAAGAGGTAGGTTGTTTGTTTAAGCAGTTACTTATATGCTTATTTATATGTTTTCAGACCTAGACTTCACAGGACAATTCACATTGCAAAACATTAAATGACAGAGGTAGGAAAAAGGAGAGCCGTTAAACAAGTTATACAAAAGTGGTACCCAGTTAATTAGAACAAAAACAGAAGCCAGATGAAGGGAAGTTACCCTAGCAGCTGAACAAAGACGTCAGGGCATGTTTCAAAGAGGTCCATCTGAGCATTGTCTGTCAGTGAGGTTTTTGACATATAGGGAGATCAGGGTTTTTTTTTTCCAACAAGAGATTGAAGATAGACACTTCCTTCTCATCATTTTGTCATTCATTAACATTCTAAGCCCTAAGGAGACTTGGAGTCAGGACATCAAAACGATTAAAAATGGAGTTGACCAAGATTAGTTAGTGTTTTTTTAATGACAATTTTTTAAAATATAGTTTCTGCAAATGAATTACCCCATTTCCAAATAATTCATATATTCAGTGTTTATTTAATAGTCAGATTTACATCCCATCTTTATTTTGTACAATTAAAGTCACCTCCTTTCTCCCATTTTCCCCACAGCCATGATTCTGTGAGGTAGCCAGGCTAAGGGAGAGTAACTAGTTCAAGGTCACCCAGCCAGCTTTCATGCCTATGGAAGGACTAGAATTCAGAGTCTCCTGGTTTCTGGTCCAGCAATCTTTGCCACTATGTCATATTGGTTCTGAAATAAGAGATGGGTCTAACTTGCGGAGTTCTTGCTTTTTGCTGTATGTCATAGTTTTATTTTTGTAATAGCTGTTAACTACATTGATCGAGTTTTTGTGATATACTTGACTGTCTGATGTTGAGGAGAAGTGTGTTGAATGAACTCCAGAACTGGATCAATTGATGCATCCAGTTAACCATTTAGTTCCAGAAGGCCTGAACTTGTTTGAGGCTCAGCTTAGTGCCTCTTCTAATGTCTGTGATCTAGATACAGTTCTAGAGAGCCTCTGCGAAAGCCACCTTGGTAGAAAGTGAATAATCACATCAGGACAGATCAGTTTATTACAACCACAAGGCCAGAAAATAATAAAACATGTAATAGTTACCTACAGAAGGTGAATATAAGTAATCCCTCTTCTAACTTTGTCCACAGTGGTTTTGCAGGTTTTGCCAGTGCTGACTTTAAAAAGTGATTTAGTAAATGTCTAAATATAAAGGAAATCTGAAGTGGCCAGAAGAGTCTAGAAAATGACTACCAGGAACATTGTTTGAGATATCCTGTTATGTGTTGCTGATACATAGAAATGAGTTAATGCAAATCATGCATGTTAGCCTTTAGTATCTTGAATCTCCTTTTCCACTGTACTGAATGATAAGAGGTCTCATTTAGAAAACACTGCTAGGATGTATTGCATATGATTACTAAAGCTAGTAGTTTAAAGGATGAAGATTTAAGAATTAAGAAATTAATTCCATGATAGCAATAGCATTTAGGCTTATATACCACCCCATAGCACCATCTAGGCAACTTACAATGTCAGCATTACTTGCATATTGCTCCTAACAATCTGGGTCCTCGTTTTACCGACCTCTGAAGGATGGAAGGCTGAGTCAAGCCTTGAGCTCCATCAGGAACGAACTCCAGGCTATAGGCAGAGTTTAACTGCAATACTGCATTTTAACCACTGCGTCACCAAGGCTAATCGTCGTGATGCAATGATTTCTCATCTTTTATTCCTGAGACCATCTCTAGTATTTACTTGAGGCCATGCAAGACAAACAGAAGTCAGTTCTATTCCACAGCTTTGTTACATTGAAGCCCTTTGTCTTGTGACTAACAGATGTAGTACATTTTTCAAGCTTGATCACAAAAAGATCATCAGAAAGCATAATGGAAGCTACATTTTTTATTTGTCATATTTTGAGCTATTCCTCTGTTTCATTTTAGTTTATGGATTTAAGAACACGCTACACAGCCTTGATAACCTTGATGACTCAGTATATAAAGTTTGCTGGTGATTCCTTGAAAAGGTTAGAGGAGGAAGAGGTAAGTCAATAGAATATTATCAAAGGAACAGTAGAACAATAAATTACGCCTTTACATGAAAATGTAAATATCAGAATTTCTTTATCAGCTTTTTGTTATTTATAGGCACTAGTACTGAAACTGGTGTAATAAATGCATTTTGTATGCCATACTGCCTCTTTAATAATTCTGATTTGAAAACTTCTTAATCAAAGTTAAAGTTTACTTTTCACCTGTAAGTTGCTAAAACACTTTTCTGTGGTGTTGGGTCTTCATAGAAATCTCTCAGATACAGAGCGATCCATAATATTTGCTCCTTTAGGTAAAGTTATGTTAAAAATAAATTTTATTTCATTGTTAAAGATGCAGAAGGAATTGATGATCTGTCTTTTCCATATATAGTTCGGTCAGGTAATGAGAAACACAATCTCATTAACAAGTCAGAATGTCCAATTTTGACTTAATAGTTTGCTTATTCATTTCAGAAAAACAGATACTATTCTGTAAAGAATTGATTGGACCAATTCATCAGAGTTCTTTTATTCTGTTAGACTATTTATTGTCATCATGAGAAAAATACACAGAAATCGTCCACTAAAATGTTTTAGCATACTTCCTATTTGTTGGTCCTAGAGAGTTAGTAAACTGCTCTTTTAAATATCTTTGTTGTCAGTTTTTTGGGATAATTTTGGCATTGGAAATAACTTCATTTATAGGGTTGGAAGTTGAAGAAATAAATAGCAGCCATTCTCCATTTTAAAATGTGTGGCCGGAAAGTGGCCACAAAAAGAGGACATACCAGATGAAGCATGTCATATTGACAATACAGCTAACAATAAAGTCAAATTATTTAGTCTTTGGAAATAGTATTAGCAAGGAAATCTGGATGAAGTCACATGCAAGTAAAGGTTCCTTAATTCATTGCACCATATGTAATATTGAGCAAGACAGTTGTAGAAAATCTTTGTAGAAAGAGTATTGGTGGTTCTGAATCTGTTGTTGGCTGTGAGTGAAAAAGCACAACGAGAAATATTAAAGAAAAGTGATAAATAAAAATAATAAACATTGGTAGAATCTTTAATGGCAAGATGAAATTAAAATTAAGAGATGGGCAACTAACCTACAGAGATCATAGCAAAAAAGTGTGATTATAATTCAGAAATATAAATTTGAAACCAGTATAAAGATCATTCCCTAGAACAGTGTTTCTAATAGTCCTAGGATGCCTGTGGGTTTAATTGCTTTTAAAATAATTCCAAATAGCTATAAGATTTCTAAAAGATATATGGGGTTGATTTGCCTAATAATTTGTTACAATTGGTTTATATTTAAATATAAAGTACCGCAATGTGAATTTTATATTAGACATAAATAAAATTATAATTTCAGTGGATTTACTCTTTTGAATGGCATAGTCAAGATCTAAACTATTTTAACAAAAATACTCTTGATTATATCCTGTGCTTCCAGGATTAGAGGATTACAATGGAACTATAATTATGAAATATTAAAAATAGTGCTGCAACACTTTTCTTTAGAAATTATATATGAAAGAAAATTTTATTGCAGTCATTTGAGAGCTGATGGAAATAAAGTTCTATTTACATAAATAGTTTTTTGATTGAATGTGACTATTAAATAGGGAAGCAGAAGTGGGTAAAGCTGACTTTCGACTGGCACCTATACCGAGATGAAGCAAAATGTACAATTTTAGAGTAAGATTTTTCTGTTTCCATTTGGATAGGGAAAAAAAATGACAAAAATTTACTACATGGATTTAAATAGTGATTATTATGGAGGAAGGATATGTTTATTCCCTAATTAAATCAGCTTTCTGGTTCGTCGAGTTTATGAGAGTATTTTCAGATGTCTAACCGAATCAAGAATTGTCATATGTACTAAAACATTCCTTTTCGTATTCAACTAACCCTAACATGACAAAATGCTTTTTTTTCTTGCATGATGATGTGTATTGCTGAGAAGTTATTCTACTTTAGCTTTCAAGCACAGACACATGCAAGTATGCTTTGGGGCAGAAACTTCAAATCCTTGAACAGCTCTTGTCCTGAATGAATGAGCAGAGAATTCTTCTTAAGGACATCAGTTGGTGGACTCCTCACTGCAGCTTTTTCTTTACTCTTATGGTGGCTTTCTGAGTGGGACAGTGGTGGTGGGCAGCAGACGGTGTGGCTGAAATGCTGTAGATAATAGTGTAAGTATTTTTGCAATCGTGCGTCACCATTTCAATGTGTTTCAGCACTATTATTAAAACATATGATAATACTTCTTTCTTTTTTTATTTTTAAGACTCTGAAAAATAAGGAGGCTCTGGTACGTGGGGAATTTTCTAACCTGGAAGAACAGCAGAAAGCAGTACTGAATGAGAACAAGAAACTTATGGCGAGAATAAATAAACTTGAGAAGGCTCTGGAGGAGATAAGGAAACAGAAGCTGCAGCTGGAGGAAGAACTTCCAAAAGCCAAAGAAGATGCAGAAAGGGAATTAAGGAAGCAGCAGAAAAAAACCGAAGAGATTTGTCTTCAGAAAGCTAAGGCTGAGCAAGAAGTGAAACGAATTTCCATGGAATTAGAGGATGTCCTTAAAGAGAAAGAAGCTGCAGAACAGGAGTTAGAACGGGTGAAACAGCTGACTTTGAAAGCTGAGGTTCAAAGAAATGCAGTTGAAGAAAACCTTAGGGCTTTCAGAATTCAGCTAGAAGAAAGCAACATGATTCGAAAAACTTTTGAAGAACATTTAAGAAGGAAAGACACAAGTCTTCAGGACCTGGAGCAGCAAAAAAAGGCTTTAATCGAAGAGCTGAAGAAAAAAACAGCTGAAGAAGAGAAGCTTATGAAGCTAATTAAGGAAATGGAACGTGATCTTGAGATGCAAGGTAGTTCAGTGAAGAACAAGTTCAGAGAAAAAGAAATAACTGACATCAGAAGGCAAATTACTATAATAGGAAGAGAAACTTGCTCAGACATTTTCAGAGAAAAGCAAGACATAAAGAACATAGAGGAATTCCAACAAATAGTAGATGAACTAACAGTGGCCAACAAAAAGTCTGAAAAAATAATTAAGGATTTAAAATATGAACTTCATGAACTTGAGCTACAAAATGCATCCTCTGAAGAAAAGGCTCGTTTATTAAAGGAAAAACTAGATGAAGCCAATCATTCTCTCAGACGACTTAAAATAGAGTTGGATCAGAAAGAACTGATTGAGCAAGGTTACTTGGAACAACTAAAAGAACTTGACAAGCAGCTGCAGAAAGCCACAGGCAAAGCTGAAGAAGTAATGCAGGAATCCATGGAACTTAAAAGAATCAATATGAATTATCAGGAAGATTTGAGGTCACTTCAAAAAGAAAAGGCACAGTTGAAGAGGGAGCTGGAGGAATTGACAAGGACACAGACAGAAATTGAAATTACTCTTCAGCAGTTGCGTTCACAGATTGCTTCTCTTCAACAAGAAAAAATGATAGCTGAACAGAGAACTATATCATGCAAAGGGGAAGCAAGCAACCTGCAGGAGCAGTTTAGAAAACTGCAGGAGCAATTGCTTCAAAAAACAAGAGAAGAAAAAGAGAGCCACCTGACTATTCAACGACTGAAAGATGACTTAGCCGACAGTAATCACTTGGTAGAAAAATTAAAGCAAAAGGTGGAGGAGCTTACAAGGTGGAATAGTGAAACCAAAATTATGATGACTGAAGTGCACACTGAATCAGAGAGGATAGTTCTGGAGAGACAGATTATTGACAGGAAAAATGATGAATTAAAAGTTTTGGTTGATAGCTTCAAAGAGCAGCTCCGGGTTACAAATGAAGAGCTACACAAACAGATCATAATTGAGCAAGAGCACTTGGATAAAATCAAGAGATTAGAAGATGAGTTAGTTAATGCAAAAGATGTAATTAATGAGTATAAGCAGAAATGTGATAGGGATATCACTTATAACATGAATACCGAGATGGAGCTAAGAAATCTAAACACCCAGGTGAGTACATTCACTATGGAAATTAAAATGAATGAGCAAAAAATCCAGCAGCAACAAGCTCATATTCAAGAACTCAACAATAAGATAAAGAAGCTGCAAGATGATTTCCACCAGAAGACTTTAGACGAGCAAACGACACGTAAAAAGATGGCATTGCTCCAGGAAGAGTCAATTAAATATAAGCATTCTGCCGAAGAGTTTAAGAAGAAGTTTGATAAACTTTTGGAATCACACAACATTGCTGAAAATGACATTTCAGGCATAAGGATGGAATGCATCACTTTACAGCAAGAGAAGCATATGGCTCAAGAAAACATCAGAATGTATCAGATTCAGATTGAAGATTTGCAGAACAGACTTCAAAAATGTCGTGATCAGTTACAACAAGGGAAACATGCAGAAATGGAACATTTGCAGAAATACCGCAAACTGGAAGAAGAATTCCTGATGCAGAAACGAACAATGGAACACTTGAAGCACCAAATAGATATGCAGAAAAGAGAGCACTGCAATCAATTGCGTTTGTTTCAGAACGAGATCAGCAAAAAGAACATCCAGTTGGACTTTGGATTGAAAGGACTTGACTATGGTTACTTGGGAGATGCCTCTCTGAGAGATTTTGAACAACGTAAAGTGTGCACAAATACTTCTCCTTTATTAAGAAGACGGCAAACTGAGATAAGCAGCCCAGGTTGTAAATCTGAACAGCTACTAACTCAGAAATTGCAAATGGTTTCAACTGATTCATTGTCACGAGAAAAGCCATTCCAGCTGTCTGGACTCTCAAACTCTTTGGGAAGTGGAGTAAACCAACAGTCATATTCGGAATATGTTTCCCAAATGAGTACACAGTTTGAAATCAGCATTGATAACAACAAACCGGCCACAAGATTATCAGAAATAGATAATTTGAGAGATGGCAAATTCCTCAGTTCACGACATGAAGAAAGTTATGAAATGGGATTAGGGAAACAACTGCATCCATTGGAGGTACACCATACAATTTGATATTTATGGCCTTCGTTGTCCTTTCTGCCTTTAAGTATTCTTTAGCACTTTAGCACTTCTCTTTTCTGAAGGTTCTCCATTTATTTAAAAGATGGTATCAGATCTGTAGAAGAACATACTTATTTAGATGTACTTTACACCCATGTGTCTGGCTAACTACGCTAAATGTGTAGATGTTTTGTTATTGTAAAGATAAATATGCACAATTCAAATCCACATCTACATTATGAGATTTGCAACAACAACAAAAAATTCCCCTCCTTAGAAAAATTTCTGTTCAGGATTCCCTACTAATCCCATCCCCACCCTTTTGCATGTTTTCCCTCTCTTCCTGTTGTCACTTCTATTGTGTGGCGCATTCACCCTTAACTAAGCTTATATTTTTGTCCTTTTAGATTTCTTTAATACATTTTTGTACATTTGTAAAAGATGACTTTGGACACACGAGTGTCCAGTTTTGGCTACAGTCCTACTATTATGGATCATGACACCTATCTATTAGCTGGAGTAATGATCACCAGTTGCAATTTTTAAATCAAATGCACCAAAGCGTATTCTTTTTTTGTCCTTCTCTATGTTTCCATTCAGCTTTCCTGCTCATACAGCTTCTGTGTTGTCAGCACTAATAAATTGGCTGATATTGTTTGCTGTTTGTATTCTACATTCCTCCCTCCCACTTATTGTAATGATATGATGCTGCTTTCTAAATGTAACATCCTTCACTATATTAAAAAAAATTCCTGTTTACAGATAGCGAACAGCAAGCAGTATGGTGTACATGCTGAAGCTTCTACATTTAATCAAGAAAATGGCAAGACATTTGGTAATGAAGGAAGACTTCTTGAGGGATACAGAGCATCAGAAGGGTTTAGGAGTGAAGATATTTCAAAGAGCAGTACTGCCTTAGAGGAGAAGCAAGCCAAGGAGATTCCTATTGAATACGATAAGATAAAATTTCAAGGCCTCCGAGAGGAAGTAAATGCCAGGCAGTTGATTGAAGTTAAACTTCTAGACTTGACCACAGCTGGACAGCTCCATTCAGGGAAGAAGGCAATTGCTGAGGTGCAAAAAGACCTTGAGATTTTTTTAACAAAGCCTAGTGCAGTAGCTGGGCTGTATATAGAAGCTAGCAAAAACAAGATCTCACTTGCTTCTGCAGCTAAACAAAGAATAATTGATAAAACTTCAGCTCTAGCATTGTTAGAAGCCCAGGCTGCCACAGGTTTCATCATTGATCCCATAACTGGCAAAAAATTGTCAGTGGATGAATCCGTCATCAGCGGACTGGTAGATTATGAATGGAAAACTAGGCTTCTGGAGGCGGAAAAGGCAGTTTCAGGTTATCTGTTTTCTGGGAAAAAGCTGTCTGTTTACCAAGCAGTGGAAAGTCGAATCTTAGAAAGGCAAAAGGGCAAAAACATTCTTGAGGCTCAAATTGCCACTGGGGGAGTCATTGATCCTATCAGAAGTGTCCGTGTTCCTCCTCAGATTGCAGTCGAGCTAGGCTTGCTGAATAACACAATGTTCAAATATTTACACGAACCTTCCAGTAACAAAAAAAGCTTTGAGAATCCCAATAACGGGCAAGCCATGTATTATAGTGACCTGCTGAAATTGTGTGTGCTCGATGTAGCCAGCAAATGCTTCCTGCTTCCAGTTGGGGAGAGGAAAACAAGCACTCCGTCTGCAGAAAAGATTCATAAGGTATCTGTGGTTGACGTTAACACCGGTGTGGAAATGACTTCCTATGAGGCATATAAAAAGTCCCTGATAGACAAGAGTATGTACCTTGAGTTGTCTGGACAGGAATTTCAGTGGAAAGAGTCTACATGCTTTGATGCCAGTGGAAATTCTTACTTTGTTCTGACAGACCTGAAAACGGGGCTGCAGTTCAATATTGATGAGGCGTTAATTGCTGGCAAAATAGACAGAGAGTCAGTCAGTAAGTACAAGGAGGGGCATCTTACAGCTAGTGAGCTTGGTGACATTTTGTTGACCAATTCCAAGCCACACACCGATCTCCATAGTCCCATTGCTGGGGTCTGGCTGCCTGAGACAAATGAAAGAATGTCTATTGCAAAAGCTTCTCGCAAAAACCTGGTGGACAGGAACACTGCGCTGAGGTGTCTGGAGGCTCAAACCTGCACAGGAGGGGTAATTGATCCCTTGACTGGAAAGAGGTACCCAGTGGCAGAAGCCTTGCAAAGGGAGTTGATTGACGAGGCGTGTGCTAAACACCTTCAGCAATGTGAACTGGTTTTCAGTGGCATTAAGCACCCTTTATCAAACAGTATTCTCTCGGTCACCGAAGCAATAAATAAAAACTTCCTAGACAAAGAACTAGGCACTCGCTGCTTGGAATATCAGCATTTGACGGGCGGGTTGATAGATCCCAAATCTCATTCCAGGTTGTCAATGGAGGATGCCATCAAGAATGGCCTCATTGATGCTGTTACTGCCACAAAAACTCAAGATGATAAATTCTATGTAAAAAGCTTGATGTGCCCTAAGACAAAAAAGCAATTAACCTATCAGGAAGCTCTCCAGGGAGCTGTTTTTGACTGCTATACAGGGCTACGCTTGCTAGAAGCCTCAGAGATGATTTCCTCAGGTATATCAAGGCTTTATTATTCTACCCAGTAACAAAGCTAACACTGACCAAGTCTTATTTTTTTTTGAGACTGAAGTTTTGTAGCAATAAACAGATTATTCTTAAGACTAAACAGGGAGAATACCCCACAGTCACTAGCACTGATGACGTTACCTCGTTGGGTAGAATGTTTTCAAGTTTACAACCAAGTTCAGAGACTCTGCACCAAGGATTTCACAGTTCAACCCTGAGTTACAGATATTCTATTCTGTTGGAACTAAGTTCCATTCTGTGGTAAGGGACAAACTGTCACATCATAGAAATAATTCCCACTTATATGATTGTACAACATGGTGGAGGAAAAAAAAAAACACTCGAACTCTAAACCTTGCAACACAGTTTGGCTTTGCTTATAAATGGTGGTTTGCATACTCTAAATCTAGTATTGCTCTGTGCTTGTAACCTTAGAACACAATAAAATTTAGATATTTCTATGTTTCATCGATTTCTGTGGAAGATTTAAATTCATGCTTAATTTTTCTCATGTAACTACTTCAGTTATTGTTGGATTGTGCTTCAGTTGCTGTTTTGTATAAATAAAAATAGTAGCGTATAGAAAGATGAATTATATTGATATGTTTCACTTCATTCTAATCTGTTTTTTGCTATTCCAGCTGAACTTTTTAATTTTTTAAAAACATAAATATATTCCATTATAATCAAATCAGTTTATGTTATTAAAAATCGTGAATTTCAGGGTTTCAGCCAAAGTTGAGTAGAGAGCTAAGTGTATAGACACTTAAATGCTTATTTTCATAACAACCTCTGCCCGTTTTCAGGGAATAGTAAAACATGAAATTATACATTTGCAGGGGTTCATAGATTGATTATATGAAAAAATAAAAAGGGTAGAACATGCAAATTTCTATTAAGCTGAGTCTGTCAAAGTAAGATAGTACAATCTTAGGTACTTGATAATGAATTATATTCACTGTGGCCCCTATCTTAGTTTAAACAATTTAAGATTGGTCAGTCAAAAAATTTAAGGACAGTTTTATACACCTATCATATCAATTAAAATGATTTTCCCCCTTTATTTTGGCACTTGAGTCTTTACATTTCTTCTAATTGGAGCCTTAAATTATCAATGGAGATGGCTATACAATTGTGAAACTGGGGTTCCTGTCTGATGGATTAGTTATCGCCTGATGAATAAAAATTGTATGACATTTTGTCTGTGGGAAAAGGTTTTAGGTATTTTATATTAATGAAGTGTGGCAACCTGTTTAATTGCATGATATCAGGTGTGGATTTATAGCTAATGCAAAAGCTGCAATTTAAAACGTTTCCCTTCCCATTGTTTGGGAGGACAATAATGGTTTCTCTCATACACATTGAATTAGCTCTGTATAAAAGAATGTGTTCATATGTATCATAATGACTATCTTGTTTTTTAAAAAAATATCTTCAAATAACTCAAGGTTGATACTTAAAAAAAAATGTTAATCTCCTCCCCCCCTTAATTCATACATAATTATACATCAGCAACTGGGATAAAAATAAAATTTATTTAACTCTGGCATTTTCTGGCATAAATTTCTTAATAGAGTAATTAGATTTGATCTGTACCTATTGTTTAACGTCTAGCAATTTTAAATATTTCTGTATTTGCAATGCCCATTGTTCATCAGAAATCAATGGAAGAGGAAAAGAAAGAACATGTTGAAAAAACTGGGGACATACTGAAATGGGTTACAGAAATCACCAGGAGCCTCAGCAAAGACAGCAGAGAAAGGGCTGGAAAAACAGATTTTCTTAAGAAGCAGGTATTAAAACATTGCTTCAGTGTATATAATAAACAGTTGCACGGACCTGTAATGTTTGATTTTTGCATATCTATGGTTCTAAGGAGTCATCTGTGGCTCATGCACATTATTTCATTTCTTCATACCAACAAGATTATTTGTATGCCCTACATCAGTCCCAATAACACTCCTTTGGCTTCAGATTTTTGTAAAAGTTATATTCAACTATACTAGTATATAAATCTATACTAGATTTATAAATCACTTTTCTCAAAGAATAAACTTGTAATGGTTCCGTAAGGTAATGAACATTTAGAGAATGTTTTCTTTACTTTCTACTTACCACTTGTGGATGTATGATTTTGGATATGGGCCATGAAGGCGCCTGCTCAATTCCAACTGGTATGTGGCAAGAGGCTGTGCTTAAAAAACAACAACTAGAAACTACCTGGCATCAGGTACAGGGGGTTATGACTGCTAAAATAACTTATTTCTCCAGAGTGTCAGGGTCAATCCTGTCAACCTAGTTGGGTGGTTTGTGGGAAGGTGGAGTTTTTTTTCTAAAAAAAAAAAAAAAAAAAGACTGGTGAATTTTTGGTCACACAAGCATCATCCCAAGTAGGGTCTGTTGGTCATGTGAATCATGGGTTGCCACCCTTAGTAAAGAACAGTATATTTGAAAGTACATGCAATCCATGGTATTTTCATAGGGCCAATAAATGATAGGAAGCACATATTTAATATTACTGATTTCTGTTGCATAACCTCAGAAGAGTCAACCTTCATATTTAGCAGAGTGAACCCACTTCTTATTTATTCAGCAACATCCGGGTAAAAAAATCATAATATAGTATGTTGTGTAAAGTTGGCTAAAATCCCTTCCAATTAAATTTATACTAAATTAAAATATCCTCCTTTTGTTAAAATTTAAAATGTTTACCTATACATAAGTTGAACTTATTAATTCTACGTTTCCCCCAGAAAATAGTTCTCAATCAAGAAGGAGGCATTATAGATACATTTTTTACTAGATACACTTGCAGATTTTTGCATGAGTAGAAGACTTTTAACTAGTTTCTATCCATTCAGTGAATATTGCTGTAACAGAGGCATATTTTATAGATTTGGATTCAAATAAAATCTTACTAATTATAGTCAGAAGAAAGTAAGCTTGATATTTTTCTTTTGAGAAATCCAAAACAATATACCTATGTAATCATGAATATTCATTGTAATTAAAGAGATAATTATTTGTTTTGTGTAGCTAGTTCCCCTGCTGATTTTTCCCTTCAGAATTTATTGAATCGATATGATAGCAAGGGATATTCATTATACTCCATATAGCAGACTCTTCAGTGCAGACTTGACAGAATTAACCACCAGGAGGACATTTTTATATTTATACTCATACCTTAATTTCAAAATGTGGTTCAGTACTTGACAGCATTCAGGGACACAAAAGAAAAGAAAATAGCTTTTACAAAACATGGCTCTTCCCCATTGTCACTATGGGCAATCCAAAGAGTCTATTTTAGTGCCTTTATTAGTTCATCTGGATCATTCGGACAGTCACTTTTTAGAAGGTAGAAAAGTGTAACTAATGAACAAGGATATCCCTTTGCTCTTCTGCCCCTTCTTTCAGATGGACTGTCTCCCAGCTTTCTGAAGTAAATGTATGATGGACAGGGATAAAGATAGTAAAAATCTAATCTGATAGAATGTCATCTACGAAGAAATACTTTCAATAGTAATAAGGATTGTGGATGGCTGTGGGTTGTTTTACCCTGTATTTAACATTATTAGGTCTTTTGTAGAGCTGTTAGGCTATGTAAGAAAAATACTTGGAGCCACAGCAAGTATTCCTTCAGTATATATTTTACGACTGCTGTAGGTACCTAATGGATAGTGTCCATCCACAATGAATAAAATATTCCACTTAGTGCTCAGAGCAATTTGGCAATTACTGTAATCATTTTAAATTAATTTGAACCCTTGAAAAACTTACGAACTGCATCAGCTTTCAGCTGTACTTAGACTGCACCTCATCTAATGTTTTGCTTCTGACAGTTATATTAGACAAAAGCGAATTAAAGATAAGAAGACTTGAGAGTATCAAATAAAAATCCAGTCGTTCCGAACTACACGTTCTTCTATCTCATGTTAATGTTCTTCTTCTCTTTCATTCGTTTTCAAGCTATCAGTGATATGTCCAAGGTAGGCTCATAGTAGCAATGAAGTGAAAATTCCAGCAGGAAAGAATATGTGAACTCCAAAGGGAAACTTGCAGATTGTTCTTCAAAAAGAGTTTCTACTAACATGTCAGAGGCCTGAAGGTGTTTGATGATTACATCTTCTTTGACTTGGCTCCAGTCCATCTTAGGGCAAGATTTGTTACTGTCCAATCTTTGTTCGTAACTAAGATGAACTGATGATTGATATAATTTAGAACCCTTGACTTAGAATCAGTCATAAATGAAATATCGGAATCCTAATTTGTCCTAATAATGCCAGCACCCCATCTCTCCCAAACAGGTAAACAAAAATCTAGCCCAGTAATGCATTATATTCCTCCAGCTAATGTAAAAAACCAAAACTAGAAATAAGCTTTTGATATGCATAATTAACTTCTACATTTTGGCCTCTGTTCCCAAGAAAAAAAGATGCAAGAATGCAGTCTTAGCACATCTCTGACAGGTTTATTTTTATATGTGTATATGTATGTCTATGCATACACACCCAGAATGATCTGGCTTATTGAAAAGTGAGAAATTAAGGACAAAGCAGGCATGGCAATATATTGTGTATTATCAAAATGCCAATATGCTCCAAATACATACCTTTTTATACTTAATCTTGTAATATTTTATATTGCTTAAAGTACATTTTTAAATCTATTATTGGAGCATTGTGGATATTTGAATGCACTTTCTTATTTTTCAGATTTCTTCTGATGAATTATCATCCAAGAAAGAACAGCTATCAGAGGCTTTGCAAGGAACACAGATATTTTTAGCCAAACATGGTGACAAGTATGTTACATGTGATTATCTTATTTTGAAATTTAATGATGGTATTTCAACTTTTGTTAACAGCATTTAGTCTTTTGATATGTCAAATCACGTACAGTTTCTGAAACTTAAGGAAAGGAGTCTGAATTAATTTTAGAAGGAACTTTTTTCTGTCCCAAAGGTGCTTTTCCCAAAAGCAACTGGACTTTCTGGTGTTTTTTTTTTTCTTGAAAATGTTTTCTTCTCATCCAAGAAGCTCCTTCAAGACCTGGATGACTGAGAATCTTCACAGATGCTTCGATTTTCCTTTTGCTGATAGCTGCTTATTATTAAAAGGGAAACAAGATGTTGGTTCTAATGACTATGATGTAATTGTATAGCTTGTCTACTTTTTGGCAACTCTTCTGTTTATAAAATTCCTCTAATCCTAATTACATTACACTCACAAATTGTGATCTTAATAGCATGTCTTAGACTTAATCTTCAATCTATTCAAATCTTAGAATAATGGGAATTATAATTTATTACGTGGTACATCGGTCTTTCTGTCAAATACAATTTCCGATGAATCCAGCTTCAGTCATTCTCAACTTTCCTTGAAAAAGCAGGAAGATTCATCATATTGGAAGCTGTCAGCTGGCTTTAATGACAATTTTTTAAAATTAGTTTTATGCATTCTGTTCTGTATCATCTTTGGCAAATGGTTCTAAATATATAATTAGAAAGTGGCTGTGTCATGGCTATGGCTATTTGTAGCTGCTTGGGAAGAATAATAAAATATACTAGTTTCTCCAAACAAGTTAAATGATATTTAGGTGAAGTGTTGCTATGGAAGTGCATGAATAATCACTCCGTTCCCAAATACCAAGTTTGCAGTCTTCAGCATGATAATCACTACTTTTTGTTTTTGTAAATAATATTTCAGGCTTAGATTATCCACGAAATTTTGCAGTTCACCTGTGAAAGCACTGCATAGTAGAAAATATAGTTTGTACATTTAATGCAAAGTCTCATCTAGGAAGAAAGGTTACAAATGAAGTGAATAATCCAGATCAAATTACTCACCATTATTTTCACAGCTACAAGCTAGACAATTACATATGCAGCTGTATTATTTCTAAAATTTATTTTTGAATCTTGTAATTATTTCTTCTGTGAGTTTTATTTATTGACATAAAGTGGTCTTAGTTCTTGCTGTAATGAAAACTGTATTTATGGACCAGTACTAATGTGTTAAAACAGGCTAACATGTGGTCTAAAGCAGTGGTGGTGAACCTATGGCACGGGTGCCAGAGGCGGCACTCAGAGCCCTCTCTGTGGGCACGTGCACCATTGCCCCAGTCCTAGGCCTTCAGCTGGATTTTATAAAACCTTTTCGGTTTAGGCCTCTGCTGCTGTGTGCAAAAAAAAAAAAAAGGATTCAATCAATCAATCAATTTCAACTTCTCATGGGGAAAAAAAGGATCTCGCAAAGTTGGAATTGATTGATTGAACTTTTTAGTCCCACCCAGTCTGCTGTTTAGTCCCACCCAGTCTACCGTTACCACCGCAGCCGTGCCCACCCAATGCCGTTACCACCGCAGCCATGCCCACCCAATGGGCCACATCCACCCAATTGGCCACATCCAGCCAATAGGCCACATCCACCTGGCACCTGACGATGCATAAGTGGGTTTTGGGTTCCAGTTTGGGCACTTGGTCTCTAAAAGGTTTGCCATCACTGGTCTAAAGTCTTCTAAATAGCTGCTTTTAAAAAGCAGAATAGTTAATAGGATTTGTTCTGGTTGATGAATAGTTTTGTTCTGTTGCTTATGGAAAGAGGAATGTAGTAGTGAACTACCTTAGTGCTCAGCTTGCTGGTAGACCAAGATTTATCAGAATCGTGGCTTTTTATTGTATGTTATTGCAGTCTATTTCTGAAATCACATCTGTATCTATGATTTGTTTCATAGAATGACAAATGAGGAGAAAAATGAAATGGAAAATCATATAAAGTCCTTGCAAGAGTGTTCCAAACTCTTATCCAATGAAGGTTTGATACAGTTGCAGGAGGAAAGAAATATAGATGAAAAAATGGATGCAAAGGTAGCCTAAAACCTATATAATGTTACTGATGATCGTGTATGGTCTAAATTTTACTTATTGCATGGATAGAGAACTCTTAATACTGGTTTTTTTTTAAAAAAAATCCTGCATTGTTATATGCATCAGACAAAATAAGGACTAAATGAGCATTTATAGAATTTTTGTGTAATAAGAATTATAACTGAATGTATAGGAAAAATATAGTCATGCATATATAAATAAATCTTTAAATCTGTGTCTTGCATGGAACTAAGAATTAAAAAAAATCATACATCACTTACCTTTCTTTTTAAAACCCATCTTTTACAAATTCTATGTTTCAGAATCCTGACATCCTACAAAAATTTGATAGATTATACTTCGTGCTTTGTATATTTATTTCAAAAGTTGATTAAATTTCAGCTGGCTACATGCTTTTGAAAGGGCATTCTCACTAACTGTGAGATAATAACTTAATAATATCTATCATTTTTTTTATAATGTTTATATGTAAAAAATAAAAAACTTTTAATAAAAAAAATAATAATACCTATCATGATCTATAAAAAGTATTACAAAATGTCAGTTAATACATAAAATATATAAATATATTTAATATATGAAAAATTATTTTTCACGTATGTGTTAAATGTTTCTAATTGATTTTTAATGCAAACCAGTTGCAATGCATTTAGGTGGTTAGAGTGGTGTCAACATAAAAGTGCTCTATGCTGTAAACATGAGTAGCATGACTATTGGTATCACTATTTTCTGAATATCCTTAACTTCTCACCGACCACATAGATGGCATGACAGTTTGTCTTCCAGGAACGTGTCTTTTTCATTCACTATATGATCATTAGCTCTTGTATTCCACTAACCTTGTTGATGTGTGCAGAACATAGACTTTTGGTGCATGCCGTGTCTCAATCTTGTATCACACCATGTGCAGTTGAATCACTGACATAGATCATTTCTGCATTGACTTGCTAACATTCACAGTCTTGCTCCAAGTTTGGTAAGTAAATGACTTATTGCCATCTACAGATAAGTATTTAAATTCAGAGATTTCCTGTTTTAATATTTATTGGATACTGAAAAAAAAATGTATTTTTATGTTCTTAGGTGGACAGAGTCATAGCTGGCATCATTGATCAGACTACCGGAGATATGTTTTCGGTCTTCCAGGCAATTTATAAAGGCCTTATTGACTATGACACTGGAATCCAGTTACTTCAGAGACAGATTATTTTGTCTGGTTTAATGTCACCTACCTTAGGAAAGAATTTTGATCTTGAACAAGCAAAGACCCTTAAACTTGTTGATGAACACGTTGCGTTGGAACTACAAGATTTGCAGAACGCTAAGAAGGTTATTTCGCAACTGAGTCCAGCCTCAATCCCAGTTGTGACTGCTTTGGAGCAAGGAATCATTTCAGAATCTCTGGCTGTTAAAATTCTTCAAATCCAGCTTTCTGGAGGATACCTAAAAATAGCAGGCACAGAAGAACCACTAACTTTGCACAAAGCTTTCCAAAAGAATCTGATTTCTGGAGCGCTATATACTAGGCTTCTAGAAAGCCAGGACACATCTAGAGACCTTATTGACCCCAATACTGCAGAAAAGTTATCCTTTGAGGAATTGCTTGAAAGAACTGTAGCTCACCAAGGAACAGGCTTAAGGTTTTTACCAGTGGCTCTTCAAGAAAGAGGCAAAATAACGTTAACATGTGGAAGGAAAATAACTGTTATGAGGGCAGCTCATGAAGGACTCATAGAGAAGGAGACTATGTTCAGGCTGTTAGATGCTCAACTACTTTCTGGAGGTATAATTAATCCCAATTCAGATCACAGGATGACTGTTGAAGAAGCAATGAGAGAAGGAGTTATAGATCAAGGTACTGCCTGTGCCCTTTTGACTCGTCAAGTTCAGACAGGTGGAATCCTGTCCCCAAACTCCCCAAAACGTTTGACTATAGATGAAGCTGTGCAGTGCAACCTGATCTCTTCCACTTGTGCCTTGCTGGTATTAGAGGCCCAGCAAGGTTTTGTAGGACTCATTTGGCCACATAGTGGTGAAATATTCCCTGTATCTATATCTTTGCATCAAGGCATGATTTCTAATGAACTGGCCTGCAAAATTCTAGATGGGAGGCAAAAAATAGCTGCGCTATATATTCCGGAAACGTCGGAGGTAATCAGCCTCAGTAATGCAGCCCAGCAAGGAATTATAGATAGTAACATTTTGTCCATTTTGAGCAATATTACACTTCCTGATGAATTGCTGAATGTGGATAATGTGCCATTCCCTTTGAAAAGGGCTGTCAGATGTCTGTCGTTTTGTGAATTCCATCCATCTACAGGGAGCGATCAAAGAAAGGACATTGAGCATCTGAACACCGGCAAGCCCATAAGTCACCACTCGGAACAGAATCAAAAGCTATTCATGTCTTACCTAATGATAAACAGTTATATGGATGCAAATACAGGGCAGAGGCTTTTGTTGCATTGTGGTGACTTAAATGAAGCTGTCAGTTTGTTAATGGCTGACAAGAACTCTGAATGCATTACAGTTGGAACTGAAAATCAATTTTGTGAATCTTCTGCAAATAGGGAAGGTCCAGATCTTGAGCAACTGCCTAAAAATGTGTTACTTAGCTTTGTTACTGGCAGTGCCTTAGGTCAAGACACAAGTATCCAAAGTATGCTTAGCAACAATAACCAGGAGGAATTTCAAGAAGCTGGCCAGAAGTTAGTTAACCAGTCATGTGCTAAAACTGATGAGGCAAAAGAATCCCTTGATAAGCATTTGCTAGAAAATCATCTTTTAAGCAGAAATGAAGTTGGTATTTGCACGCTAAACAGGGAAAATGAGACTGGCAATGAAAATCTTTTAGGTAAACTAGATAATGTTTTGGATGTAAATAATCCTTCAGCATTTACTAATGAAAGGGAAGTACCAAACAGCACCTGGGAATGTGTACCTCATGTTCTGCTGGATAATGAAGAAACTATATTAATAAAAGATGTAGAAAAAGTTAATTTCCAGGAGAGTTTACTTGCCACTCCGAAAACCGGACATAAATCTTTAAAAAATCTTACTCAGAAAGAATTAGGGGCTTGTAATGAAGAAGGGATATTTCAGTCAGATACTAATATAATTGCTGCATCCCATAGTCGTATTAATAGTTACAGAGTATCTCCTTTGGAACCTAGAGAGCGTACTCCTGATAACCTGTTAGATACTAGTAGTTGTATGTCTAGCCATTGGACATCTGTGAACGAAAATACTTTTTCTAGGGATGATCCACCTCTGAAAGACAACATCACCTTGATAAATCAGGAAAAGATTACAACAGAAAGAAATGAATCTCTGGAGAACAATATTAATATCAAAGACAAACCTGTAAATGGGAGTAGTATAGATAGTAGAACTTTGCATGATTATTGTACTAAATCTTACAGAGTTCCAGCATCGGAATGTGACATTACATCCACTGACTCCTTTCAGATAGATCATATTGTCACTCATTTTGGCCTTCCAGTGGAAGGCAATATTGGTACAGCATTGGCAGGAATCAGTTCTGGATTTCTTGATGGGTCACCTATCAGTAGAGATAACCAGCTTAGATTACTTAATGAGCCATCCATGAATGATAATAAGTTACTTCTAGAAGGCAGCAATAGTAAGCCTTGTGAAACATGGGATGAAAGAAAATGTATCACTCCACATTTAGAAAATAGTAACAAATACAGAGATAGTCAAGGCCTTTATGACATAGCTCAGCATAAAGAAGGCAACATGCATAATTATGATGTTGATGATATTGTTGATAATATGGCCCAAGTTGATAAGGATAGGTCCTCTACTGATAAGGGCACTATTATTCCAGAAGGCAGTGGCAATGTACTATGTATTGCTGTAGATAAGCCAACAGAAGAAGCATCAACATACCTTCTGCATAATAAAGAGGAAAGTTTTCTAGGCTTTGGTCATTTGGATATTGATGATACACTAGAGACTGTGACTAAGAAGCCATTCGGTGAAGGCCCTGTTCAAGAAGAGATGGGAGAAGGGACTGGAAATGTAGACAAGGGATGGAGGGAAAGAGAAAGAGGTGAGGTTTTCACTTCCCTGAGAAAATTGGATGAAGCTGAAATAGAAAGAGATAGGCAAGAGCACAGTAGTACTGAAGAAGAATATTATTCTGATGAAACTGGACAAGAAAGCATTTCTGCAGATAATAACTTAGGTAATAAGGATAATGAAAGCGAAGATGACTTTAATAGTTATGATTATGTAGATTTTGATTATTATACGTCTAATGAGACCGATTATGAGAACGAGGAAGTGATGGAAATACAGTACTCACAGAGTCAGGGTATACATGCTAGCAGCCAGTGTTCAGGAGATGAAAGAGAGCAGTTTCAACAGAAGACAGAAGACAACATTACTTGTCATGACTACAACTTGCAAGTAGAGTTGAAAAATGGCTTACCATGTTTTAAAAGAAATGTTGATGATTGTCAAAATATAACGAATGATAAAAGTAAAGAGGAAAGCCAGAAAGATGCTGAAAAGGTTTTGGCGGAGAATGCCCCTGGAACAAAAGATGCTCAGGCTGACTCAGATGTTGTTCTTCAAAACACCTTGCCCTCTGAGCACAACAAGGCTATCGGGCATGATGTAAAAGCAGTGTCATTACTGAGTTGTAAGAAAAGTCACGGAGTAAATGATGAACAATTAACACAAGATATCATGGGTGATGTAAAACAGAATAAAAATGGAGTATGCCTTCTGCAGGGAGAGAGTATCCGGGAATCAGATGGAAGCTTGACAAAGAGTTGTCCATTGGGCGTTAAAAACACTTACGAAACTATTCCCTCATGTCAGGAGAAAGCAAGTCTTGACCAATTTTCAAATGAAGCTAAATCCCATCTACAACCTAGTTGCTTTGCCACAGATGTAACTATTGACTGTGATGAGGTAGTTGAAGTGGTTGACCTTTCTACTTACTTAAAGCAGTGTGCACAAAATATCAAAACCAAGGATATCCTATCACTGAGACAAAGAGTTTCATCCAACGTCGTGGAACTTGAAAGAGGCAATAAAGAGAATGGAATGGAAGCTGTAAAAACTCAAACAAAACGGCATTCTGAAGAACCAAATTTCCAGATTCTGACATCAGATATACCAGATGCTATCCAAATGAATGACACCAAAGGAAGAGAAGGACATTACAAATTGTATCATGAAAAACTCCAATCTGAGAGCTTTGATATTATGGAAGATAAAACTGCTGAAGAAGTAATTAACAAGGTTGGAATGGGTTGTAAGGAATGTTTGCAAACAGCGGGCTCCTTTTTTGATACTTTAGGCCCTATGGGTAACAGCTGGCCTACAAAACAGAATATGCATGAAATACTTGTTAATCACAGTACTGAAAGAAATGATGAGGTAGAGGAAGATAACAATTCTACTTTTTTACAAAAAGCCACCAAGAAAAATGCGCAATTATCACAAAAAGGAACACATCTGTCTGATTTTCCTCTAATAGAGGATCAGAACATACTCTTGTCTAATGTCCCTGCTGCATTGCATGAAACCTTACCAAATATACTTAAAAACAGAATAGAAGATTTCTGCATTCACTACAAGCAGGAAGATAACTCTTTAAGTTATACTGGCACAAGGGCTTTAATGCAAAATGTATTTAAAACCGTTGATCATATGCATCAGGGACAGTCAAATCAGTCTGATAACAAAGATGAAAACTGTGTTACTGAAACAGCCATTCTGGTCAATCCATTTTGCATCAGTGCAAATGAACACAATCCTCCCCCAGATGTTTGGCTTGATAATAGCAGTCCTGATCTCCTCCTTGATATACTGAAGCAAGATAATTCTAATCATAAAAATAATGACAAACATGGAGTCATCAGTGACAAAGACCAGACTGAAAAGAATCAGGTGAAAACAGTTTCTCAGCTTGCTCAATTATTTCCAAACCCAGATGGAGCTAAAGATGCATCAGACTCAAAACCAATTGCCTGCTCAAAGAATCCAGCTCTGAGCAGTAACACTCTTGTTTTGGAAACAAATCGGTCTAAGGAAAAATACCATTCAGGAGAACACTTTTGTGATCATGCCTTGGAAATGAGGGAATCTTTTCCAGGATCTGTGGCAATGAGCATGGTGAGTAGCAACTTCTACATTGTTGTATTTATGTTTTGTTTCTTTGAGTGGCTGTACCATTTCATCAAACACGTCTAAACGGTAGGAAATTGCTTTAAATTCCCTGTAGAGAATCATAAATGTTTTCTAGTTATTGGTATTGTAGGATTACTGGTAAAAAAATTTAAGTTGATCCTCCAGTTTATTTTAAAGTATAGTTATTAAGAATTGGTTTTAATATGAATAATAATAAATGCAGATGAACTGCTTTTATAAATAGTTTGGCTAAAATGACCTGTTGTTCAATAATGCTTCCAGTTACCCAGTGCTCTGCAGCCCTGTTCTTGGTACACGGAGAACCTGAGAAGGCACTTGATAATGGTCCAAGATATGAAATTTCTCTTAGATGATCTGCAGCCCATCAGTAATGACTTGGAAGCTCTAAAAGTACAACTTGAACAATTAGAGGTAAATTATTGATTTTCATAGAAAGTAGGATTAGTATAGAAACGTTTATTTATTTAACAAATGTATATGGCTTACAAGATCCAGACTTATATGTCTGAGATAGGATTTCAATCCAGGTCTCCCCTATTTGAATTTAGTGTTTATGTGCTATATCATTTGCATCTAAAGAAAGGTTAATATGTAAAGTTACAATTTGTAGTAAGAGTAGTGGTAATATTACACAGGAGTCAATTTCATTATTCTTTTTTCTGATATGCAATACCTGATAGAATATAATTCATTCTGACTAATAGAATGAAAAGTAGAATTCGTCTATATTTATTCTCATTTCGTGCTACTATATTATACTTTATTTTTTTTATACATATAGGCATTTGAATCAGGACTTGCTAGGTTTGCTGTCACTTTGCAAAAAGATATGAAGTTGGCAGAAGGCTTTCTGAAATTACAATCCAGAGATGTTCCTGCACAGCAGCTGGAAGATCTAAAAGAAAGCTATAAATGCTTAGAGAAGGAATTCTCTACGGTCTGTGAAATGTCTTCAAACCGAGCAAAGCAAATAGCCTTTGCTGTAGACTCTGAAATGGTAGGTTCATGTTCCATATTTTGCTTACTTGAATAGATCATTTAAAAAAAAAAATCACACCAATACGAAGTTTTGGTACATAACCTTAAAATAATCCCCAATTTAAAATAAAATACAATAAAATCATGTGAAATATTTGATGACAAATTTATGATTTGATATTATCTCGCTTTTAAATTCAGGTACAGGTAGTCCTCAACTTACGACCACAGTTGAGCCCAACATTTCTGTTGCTGAGCAAGACAGTTGTTAAGTGAATTTTGCAAGATTTTTACGACCTTTCTTCGCACAGTTCTTCAGTGAATTACTGCACCTCTTAAATTAGTAACATGGTTGTTAAGTGAATCTGGCTTCCCCATTGACTTTGCTTGTCAGAAGATCACAAAAGGTCATCACTTGGTCCCAGGACATGACAATCGTCATAACTATGAGTCAGTTGCCAAGTGTCTGAATTTTTGGTCATCTTACCATGAGGATGCTGCAATGGTGATAAGTGTGAAAAACGGCCATAAGTCACTTTTTTTCAGTGCCTTTGTAACTTTGAATGGTCACTAAATGAACTGTTGTAAGTCGAGGACTACCAGTATTTTATCCCTTTCATCTCTTTTTTATTTCTTCCAATCCTCTCCAACCTGTATCCCCTTGATTCCTCTCACATCAAAAAAAGATTTATTTAAAAGCTCCGTTGTATATAGGGGAAGAACATTATGAATTGGAAGGACAGGCCTGATAGTTTCTGCACTGATAACATAAAATGACTTTTGCAGATCAGAGTAAGAGTAATTTTGTTTTGCTTTGGCTTGCTATAATCTAAGAATGCTCTGGTTTCTTTTTAAGTCTGATAAAACTGTTTGCAAAATATATGTTTTAAACACACACACACATATATATATTTAGGGCAAGCTTGCTGTGTTGCATCAGGAACTTTTAGTCAGTCTTCAAGAGTTCACAGATTGGATCGTTGAAAAGAGTGAAACGATGAAGAATTTGAAGACGGTGAATGTTTGTGATGTGGAAGATGTGAAGCAAAAGCTTCAGTTAGCCAAGGCAAGTGTCTGCTATTATTTATTAAATTTATTTGCCGCCATCTTGTCACAAGGTGAGTCTAAACACTTACCAATTGATAGTTAATGATAATTACATATATTTCCAGAGAGTGATGTTTTTGGGGAGGATGGGGATGGATAGAAAAAAGAACCATTAGACCATTGTGATATAAGCCCCATTATTTTTGTACCTATGTTGCGACATCAAGCACACATGAAAAAGGTGGAGCTTAAGGCACAAAAGCAGCAGGTTCCCTCTGCTCCCAGTCATGAGACATTGCAAATGATGTTAACTTGGAATCACTCTCATTTACCAATAATCCAGATTAGCAATGATTCCTGAATCAGTTACTCTGCGTAAGTTGTATAGGTGACATACCAACAATTGCACTAAATTATTACAGTAGCTGTAAAGCTCCATAGTAGAAAGTAACTTATACAATTCATTGTAGGACTAGACGGTCACTTCTACAAATACTAAGGATATCATTTAATAAATTATTACTCATATATTCTCCATATGTTTCTTTTTAGAATAAAATAGCTACAGCTTTAACATAGCTATAACTTCATTACTATGATTCTAAAATCTTTAGATTGAATATTAAGATCAAAGATAAATATCATAGATTTGAACTATCAGTTTTTACCAGAATTGCACAAGGTTTTTGGACTCCATGTTAATGTCAACAGATAATAGAAGAAATATGATTCTAATGTTATAACGTGATGTGCCGGTGCCTGGAAGATGTGAGGGTCTGGATGGGGGTGAACAGGCTTAGACTCAACCCTGACAAGACCGAGTGGCTCTGGGTCTTGCCTCCCAAAGGTCAACTGGATGGTCCATCATTAGTCCTGGGGGGGGTAAATTTACCTCCCTCGGTGCAGGCACACAACTTGGGTGTCCTCCTGGACTCACAGCTAAATTTGGAACAACATCTATCGGCTGTGGCCAGGGGGACCTTTGCCCAGGTTCGCCTGGTGCACCAGTTGCGGCCTTATTTGGACCGGGAGGCTTTACTCACGGTCACTCATGCCCTTTTCACCTCAAGACTGGATTACTGTAACGCGCTCTACATGGGGCTACCCTTGAAGAGCGTTTGGAGGCTGCAGTTGGTTCAGAATGCAGCCACGAGAGGGATTGTGGACGCGCCAAGGTACACCCACGTGTCACCTATCCTCCGCGAGCTGCACTGGCTTCCTGTGGGTCTCCGGACGCAATTCAAGGTGTTGGTTATCACCTTTAAAGCCCTTCATGGCATAGGGCCAGGTTACTTACAGGACCACATACTGCCGCACAGTTCCCAGAGACCGGTGAGGTCCCATAGATTGGGCCTCCTTCAGGTCCCGTCGGCCAGACAATGTCGGCTGGCGGGCCCTTGGGGAAGGGCCTTTTCTGTGGTGGCTCCGACCTGGTGGAATCAACTTCCCCCCGAGGTTCGAACTACTCCCACCCTGCCGGCCTTTAAGAAAGCCATTAAAACTCTCCTGTTCCGGCAGGCCTGGGGCTGATGTTCCGGGGGGGGGGGGCGGGATATGATCGGACACGCTGTATGAATGTATTTATTTTATTTTATTGTCAGATTATTGTTTTAATTTTGTACGCCGCCCTGAATCCCTTGGGATTGGGCGGCATATAAATTTTAGAAATTAATTAATTAATTAATTAATTAATTTTTATGGCAATAAATGCTCCTGATGTACCAATTGTTTTTCTTATATAATTCTGATTCCAGAGTGTTTAATCAGTTTTCTCCAAACAGGTACCTTTCAGGTGAATTGGACCCACAACCTCATTATCATAAAACATAGCCTGTATTGCCTAAAGATGATAGGAGTTGTAATTTATCATATCTGGGCAGCAGTTGATTTGCATAAATTATTCTTGATAACTTTATGAACAAAATAAAATTTGAAACAAGTTCAGAAACATTTTTAACAATACTGGTTTTCTAATTCCTGATAAGGTTGTTTAGAATATTATCTGGCTTTTTTTTTTTTTTTTTTTTTGCTTAATTTGCAGGACCAAGAAAAAGAGCTTGGATGTAGAAAAATGCAATTGGAATCTACAGCATTTGATATTCAGTTCTTCATTTCTGAACATGCCCAAGATCTGTCCCCAAATCAAAGCAAACAACTGTTGAGGCTATTAAATTCTACACAACGACACTTCCAGGAAATGCAAGAAAAAATAAGATCTCAAGTGGATCATTTTGAATCTCTCTTACAAACAGCTCAAGTTCTTATTGATCAGCAGGTTTGCTTTTCTCCCTGGCCTTGTGCTTACTATATTACTAGATAGAAAAAGCAGCAAGGTGCCATCTGAACTCTGAAGCTATTGAACAACTGGATTTATCCTTCAAAATTCTAGAGAGGCGTTATCAACAGTTTAATGATCATTTAAATTTACCCCTTCATAATAATTTTTTTAAAAAAAGGTGCCAGAACTCACACATGTCATACAACCCGCTTTGCCTACCCTACAAGGTTCCATCCAAAAAAGGTGCTGGAACTCCATTCTTGGCGTTCTATGACAAAAAAAGCCCTGATTTTTACAATGTCAGAACATTTTGGCTTCCAAAAGTAGTAGGAAGTAACCTTTCAGTTAAGATTTTTTTCCCCTTAAAAATGAAACTTAAAAAGCAACAGTAATATAGAAAGTGTGAGTTCTAAATTGGAATGAAGGTTTAAGTGTGTAGAAAAAAGGAGAGTTTGGTGATTCAATCCTATTCCTTCCTGTCAAATACAGCCAAATCCATCAATTCCTTTGTATGTGGGAAAACCATTGTGTAGCTTAGTAATTTCCATGGTCTTTCATGGGTGAAATGATAAGTTGTTGGGATCGTGTTTTATATCCAAAGATGCCTACCTAGAGATTCCATCAATTAGTATATGAAAAATAAAGACTTGGTCAGAAGACTTTTTCAGAATGGAGCTAATAGAAAAGGCAATAACTCCAACTAGATTCAAGAGATATTGCTTAAGGGCAGGGAGTGGAAGTCTTCATATTAGAAAGGCTAATACTTTATTAAAATAACACAGATTAAAAAAAATACATAGAATGGGATGATAGGATAAGTGAGCCAATGAATCTTATTGCACGTGTGCTTCTGTATTGTTTAAAATACATACATAATCTCAGTGCTGATAACATTGACATGTACCAACTATCTAACACATAGTTTTCAACTAACATTGGTTTTGACCTCCCTGTTTTAGAATTAATGCTTGTGTGTTACAGATTTTGAACAAGACAGAAATTTGGATTTTCACACGCCTAATGCATGGCCAGACTTCTGCTGGGCGATTCCATCTCAAACTGGTCTCTTTACTTACAGCATTTGTGAGGTTTATCCATACCTTTTATATTCCATTTCTTTAAACTGTGTGCAACTGCTATCATGTTTACAGCATACTTTCAGAAACAATTTCTAATGAAAGCTTTGCAACGTGTTTGCTTGAAAATTAACTTACACAACAACTTTTGTGTGCCTTTATGCAGCTTTGTTCTTATTCCAAAACAGGATTTGATGGATCAGCATGAGGAATTCCAAGAAAAATTACAGGATATATGTGATCTACTCACACAGACAGAAAATCAGATCATTGGCCACAAAGAGGCCCTTGTGATTGAAGATAGCAAGACTGAATTACAGCAATACCAAACCAGGCAACAGGTAAATTATTGAGTATCAACAACACACTAAACAGTTTGGATTTCATCAAGGGTCAGTTTGCACTGAGTGGAATCACTTCTCATGTTTAACCATGGTTTTAGCCTATTGGGAAAACCAAGACGTTGTGAGTGCAAACCATGGATTATTCTAAACCTGTGACATAAGCCCCAAATCGATGCATTATTCAGCAGATTCTCATTGAAACAAACAGTCTGTACTGAGAAAGTCAGGGATTTAGGAGTTAAAACAGGTGCCTTTAATCTTCCAAAAGGTTTAAAGTTTCTATTTTTCCCAATAAATCTCCCAAAATGTTTCCAAAATTCCAGAAAAGGGGAAAGAAATGGAATAGAATTGCCCTGTGGTTAAATAATGGTTTCCTGATTTGTATTACTGTTGCCATTCTTCAAGGAATTACAGAAAAATATGCAAGCAAATACACAGGCCTTGGCAGAAATTGTGAAAGATACAGAAATGTTCTTGAAAGAGAATGGGGAAAAGCTGCCATTGGAAGATAAGATTGCTCTTGAGAGGAAACTGAATGAAGCGAAGACCAAGTGTTTGCTGCTAAGCCAGAAGGCAGAGGAATCCAGAAAAGAGCTGGATAAAGCTGTGACAACAGCTATTAAACAAGAAACAGAAAAGGTTCTTTGGCAAATATTTACTTTTCCTTTCAAAATGATTTATTTTCATAATTTTCCCTGGTGTGTACTTGTTGATATGATTGAGAGATTACAAAAAAAATCATTTGACAACTGAAAGAGTTGATCATCATCATTCATTCATGTATGTATATGTTTTCATTTATTCATCAAACATATCTAGATTTATAAACCTATTCATTTATAAATATATTCATCAAACTACAGTTTAAAAAGAAATCCCAAACCATTCCAGAAGGCTTAGAAGCAGTGTAGTTCCACCACCCGTCCTTAGAGTAGGGGCTTTAGTTCTAAACATAATAACTTTCCAGTGATTGTCTTGATTTTTCTAAGAATGGGATAAAGCAATTAACATTCTATGGGTATTTGCAAGTAACCAAATGCTCCTCAAAACAAATGATGCTCTCTTAACAACCACTTGTTCACTAGTTGAATTTATGATGGTGCTGAACATGTGATACTTAAGACTTCAGCAACATCAGTACAGTCACATGATCGTGAACCAGATGCTCGGCAGCCTGCTTGCAATTACAACATTGCAATATCCCATAGTGACATGATCACCATTGTGAGACCTTCACTGCTGGCATCAGACAAGCAAAGTTGATGGGGAAGCTGGCAGGAGGTTGCAAATGGTGAACACATTGGCATTGCACCTAATGATGGCACAGAATTTGCTGAATGACAGCAACTGAAAGTACCAATACTGCTGCCACTAAGCACCTTGGTTATGCAGCCGTGTTGGAAATTCCAGTCCCAATTACTATTGTTAAGTGAGGACGACTGCTTGCTATTGCTATTGCTGCTGTTATCCAAATCACCTGGCTGTTGCTGCGGTATCCAAGTAATCTGGCAATATTTTAAGGAATGAAAGCAAGCATAAAATCAGTGTACAGGATTATTATTATTTGTAATCAAGGATTGTCTTTGTTTTCACATTTGTTTTTAGACTTACTGTTTTGTTTTCAACCAACATTTGCATTACTATAATAGATTGGGGACATTTTTGTATCTCTCCACCTGTGAATATTTCTGAGCAAGCTATTGATGATTTGAACTTCAATTGTTCAGGTTGCAGCTAGACAACAACTTGAAGAGAGCAAAAATGTGGTAGAAAATCTTCTGGTTTGGCTGTCAAATGTAGACAAGGATGCTGACCATAGAGGTACAAAATGCAAGCCAACAATCAAACAGAATGGTATTGATTTTCATGAAGGAAATGGAGAGGATTTGATTGGAGGGGAAGATGAAGTAAATGGCAACTTGCTAGAAATCCAAGAACAGAATGAAACTCTTGTAGATGGACGACCTACACTGTCGGACGATAATCTCAACATGCAATACCAGAAAGCTAAGGTAATGTTTACACCTATTAGTAATTGCAAGCATTTCATTCTTGTCCTGGGGGGGGGGGGAGAGGAGGTATGGATGGAGCAAAACAAATACACATTCTGGACTGTGCTTAAAACTGAGACTAGAATATGTAAAACAAGGTCTAGTGCAGGGGTGTCAAACTGCCGGCCCGCGGGCTGGATGCATCATGACGAAACTGTGCGCACCCTATTGCCGGCAGTAGAAAAAAAAGTCACTATAACGTCGTGACACATCATGTGACATTGTGAGTTTGACACCCCTGGTCTAGTGGAATCAAAGCTTATTGCTGGGACCATTTTAAGTCCCTAAATCTCCAGAGCTATTGGAAATGCTACCTTTTTTCTTGGTGCACTGCAAGGAAGGCTCAAAGAGTTCTCATTGGAAATTATATCACAAGATTCAAGAGTGGAACCAAGAGGTGGTTTTGATTTCTACCTTGGAGTTGAAGGTACTCAGAGAAAAGAAAAGTCAGAGGAAAGTGGGGGAAAAACTCTTCGTGATCCTTTCCAACATAACACAACAACAGGATACATACAAAAGAACCTAAATGCCCCTATAAATCAGCAGGGGAATTTCCTCAAGGGCCTCAGTATTAGAAGTACTTCCATGTTATACCCAAGAAGCATACATGATGAAATGTATATGATGAGTCAGTTTGGTGCAGTGATTAAGGTACCAGGCTAGAGATTGTGAGTTGTGAGATTGTGAGAGAGATTGTCATTCTCTCTCAGCTCAACTCATTTCACAGATTTCTTGCTGTGGGGAAAATAGCAGGAAGGAATATTATATACTGTATATTTGCTGCCTTGAGTTACTTATAAGGATTACAAAAATCATTTTTTTTTAAAAAAATACATATTTTGACATGAACTCAACCGGAACCTTTTGAATAAGTTTTAACATGTTTGCATGTGATCATTTTGGCAGTGGGAGATTAAATGAGATTAGTGGTAGTATATACCGGCAGTAAAGAATCAGTTGTTGATTCTAAGTGATTTTCAATATTCTCTGAGTAGAAATTAGCTAAAAATGGTGTCCTGCTGTAGAGCAAAAGTCTAATTCCAGGCACTCTGGGTTCCTCCCCAGGCGCAACATGAAAAAATTATCTCACAGCAACAAGCCGTCATCGTAGCAACACAGTCCGCCCAGGCTCTGCTTGAGAAGCAAGGACATCACTTTTCACCAGAGGAAAAAGAAAAAATCCAACAGAACTTAAAGGAGCTGAAGGTGCAGTACGACACTGCATTGGCTGAATCCGAACAGAAACTGAAGTTAACCCGCTCGCTACAGGAGGAGCTTGAGAAATTTGATGCAGATTACTCAGAATTTGAAAGTTGGCTGCAGCTGGCAGAGCAAGAACTTGAGAACCTGGAGATTGGAGCCTCTGACTTTGGCGGCATTATCATCAAACTGCAAAGGCAGAAAAGTTTTTCTGAAGATGTCATTTCTCACAAAGGGGATTTGAGGTTTATCACCATTGCTGGACAGAGAGTATTGGAGGCTGCTAAATCCTGCAACAAAACAGAAGGTGTCAGATACGAGAAAGAAGGCATGGATACTTCATTGACTTACATGGAAGTACAGGATAAGCTGGATAGAGCAACTAGTCGCTTCAAAACTCTCTACTCTAAGGTAAATTGAGTTGTATGTGCATGGGATTTTCTAATTGATTGCATTCTATCCCGCCTTGCTTCACAGTTTTCCAAGTCTGGTTCTCCCCATGTTTTTTAATCCCTCCCAAGTTAGATTGGGCTGAGGGAAAGCGACTAGCTGATTACAGCTAGTCCTCAACAAACTACAGTTGGTACTGGAACTTCTATTGCTGAGCAAGGTGGTCATTAAATGAGTTGTGCCTGATTTTGTCACTTTTTTTGCCACTGTTAAGCAATTCACTGTGGCCATTAAGTGGATCACATGGTCATTAAGCAAATCCAGATTCTCCCATTGATTTTCCTTGTCAGAAGCTGGCTGGGAAAGTCTCCAGTGGCAATCGTGACCCCAGGAAGCTCCAACCATCATAAATACATACCAGTTTCCAAGTGCCCCAATTTTGATCATGTGACTGTGACAATGTGGCAATGGTTCTAAGTGCAAGGATCAATCATAAGCAGCTTTTTCCAGGGCTCTTGCAATTTTGAATGATGGCTCATCAAATGGACCTACGTCAAGGACTGCCTGTATTGCAGTGAGCACAGTGTTTTAGTTGGGACCATTGCTGAATACAGCCAGCAAAGACCTAGTGACATTTCTGAAAACGAGGCTAAAAATTGATGGGAAATATATACATAAATCTGCACGAATGATTTTTTTCCTGATAATTTATGTACCAATTCCACACTAGGTGCACATTATTACCTGTGCTTTCTTGATTGTTTTCCATGAGGTTTCTGGGTATAATTCAAAGAGCACGTTTTAACCTATGAACTTCTATATAGTTTGGCCTTCACCTATCAGTGTAGGTGAATCAACTGTTTTAGCTTGAGCTAAAATTCTGCTAGGCAACTTTGAGGCCAAACAGTTGTGCTTAAGACAATGCATTTATTAAACACACACTTCTAAACCTTAAATTCTTCTAGTGCAGGGCTTTTCAACCAGTGGTACGGGTACCACCTGTGGTACATTGGCACCTGGCAGGTGGTATGTGACCATCCTAGAAAAGTAGCAGGGGAGGGGAATGAGCTGAACCGGTGGCAGCACCGCACAAGCCTGAGTGAGAGATGGCTGGAACTGCAGGGCTGTCAGGGTTCAGTGGAAGCGCCAGGATCAGCGCCAGGCTCCAGCTGGAGCCCGGCGCTGATCCTGGTGCTTCCGCTGAGCCCAGAAAAAGCATCTATCAGCTGGAATGTTGCAGCATCTCCAGGGTCTTGTGATTTATATTCAGATGCTTGGCAACAGATTTATATTTATGACTGTCACAGTGTCCCAGGGTCATGTGAAGTGACCAAAACTTGCTGCAACCACCCAGCAAACGGGGGGGAATAAAAAACAAACACCCCCACCCCACCCCCCACTGCCAATCCTCAACAGAAATGCTCACAACAATGAAAACCTCGGACAGGAGGAAGAGCGCCACCGGGTGGGCAGGCAGGTGTCTTTCTCGGCTGTGGCTTGGGGGGCACTTTTTTCAGTGCTATTGTAACTTCGAACAGTCACTAAGCAAACTATTGTAAGTCGAGGACTACCTGTACTTTATCGCTTTTTTCCTTTTTTGGAGGGGTCATCAAGTTTTGACACCTTGCTAGGCGACTGGTGGTACTCGGATATTGCCATATCCTAAAAGTGGTACAATGGGTGAAAAGGTTGAAGACCCCTGTTCTAGTGCATACAAAATTCAGTATTAATTGCTTTGCTACAATCTACAATAAGTTTCATAGTCATTTTTTTTTACCATTTATATAGTTTGGCATTTGTCCACTAGATGGTGCTAAGTGTATTAATAAAACAATCGCTCAGTAGTCAGAAGAGAAAAAAAAAATGATGAGAAAATTTCTAAAACTTAGATTCTTCCAACGCAGATTCTTTCAATGAGCACAAAGGGAAGTATCACCCTTTCCTCAAACTATTACTTTTATCTTCATTGAAAGAAAATGGTACATGCCAGTATTTTCAAAACCAATTTCCTACTAAGCTGATAAAGCAGTGAATAAGAGGAAACTTCTACCGTACTGTAGAAATGTTAAAAGTATAAAATCAATAGCATTTTGTGGAAATATAGACATCAATTTTTTTTGTAATATATTGTATTGGTTTTTTAAAACATAGATCACTTAATAATTGGTGAACAGTGTATTGCCTGGGTTTACATTTGTAAAATAATCACTAACAGTTGATTTCTATAATCCATAATCCACATAATGGTTTTAGTTGATTTCCTCTTTTCCCCAAAATGTCCTTTTTTGCAAACATTGAGTTAATACAATTCTTATTGTTTTGATAGATAACAATTAAATATATATATTTTCCAATATTCCTAAAAATAATAATCACATCAATATAATATTTCTTTTCTATCCAATCATTCTGGTTGCCTCATCATAGATCCTGTTACAGTCTTTATTTAAATTTGTTTCTCCCACAAAATTTAAAGTATTCTTACTAGTTAAGATTTTCTCATTTTTTAAAAAAAAAATTAAGTCTATTTTTTCCATTTGAATCATCTCAGCACTTTTACATTTCTTAAGGAATAGATAAAACAGTAAAAAAAAGAAAGGAGAACAACAGTAAAGAAACATAAAAAAATAATATACTACTTAAAATATATATCCCTCCTAAGCTAATATATATTTGTTTCCAAGATTTCTTATTCTTTTTAACCATAATTAAAAATAAGTTTAACCTTTAGATATTCCATTTAATACATCTAGTCATCTGGTCCTTTAACTCTTATTAAAAAAATAGGGGGGGGGGGGCAGGTTGGAAATATACCGTATTTTCCTGCGTATAAGACGACTTTCTAAACTCTGAAAATCTTCTCAAAAGTCCGGGGTCGTCTTATATGCCCGGTAGCTGTTCTCTGAATTTAAAACCAATCTGCCCCCTAGTGGCCAGCCCTATTTTTTTTTTACAGAAATAAGCACTAACACAGTGTTTCTCAACCTTGACAATTTTAAGGCATGTGGACTTCAACTCCCAGAATTCCACAGCCAGCAGGACAAAGCATTCAAAAATCCAATTTTTCTACATCGCCCATTACTTTATTCTTTTTCAGGAAAAGCAATTAAATAGTAGAAAACAGTAAGCTATATAAATTAAGGACATTACATCTACAAAAAAAAGAAACATTTGATTTACTTATTATACCTATAGCAGCAGTCATGAATATATGGAAAAAAATTTTGATTCAGCAAGTCAATTGATTAAGAAAGATACTGGTCAAAGTGAAAATTAAGAAAATAGATGATGGGATCTACCAAAGAGAATATTTAAAAAAGAAACATTTGTTTGAATATGGTTAAAGAAACATAAAAGATTCTGAATACATATGTCATTCTAAGAGAGATGAATTCCTTAAATAATACTGTATGCTTTCCCCCCTTTTTATTTTATTTCTTGATATAAGTAATATAATACTGCTGAAATGGCCTAGATCAGTGGTTCTCAACCTGTGGGTCGAGACCCCATTTGGGGTCGAACGGCCATTTCACGGGGGTCGCCAAACAAGGCTGTCCGCCATTTTTTCCCCCTTTTGTTTGGCCACGCCCCTGGCACCTGGTGATGTATAAGTGGTTGGGGGTCACCACAACATGGGGAACTGTATTATGGGGTCGCAGCATTAGAAAGGTTGAGAACCACTGGCCTAGATGAAGTAAATGTTTTAGATAATTAAATGTGTCTGAATTTAGGAAAATTATAATGTATAAAAAAGAAAAAAAAATGTTTTTAATAAGACCTAAAGGATTAGCTGACTAGGCACATTAAATGAAATATTTAAAGATTAAGTATATTTTATCAAAATAATAAGAACTATATTATTTCAAGGTTTGCAAAGAAGACATTTTGGGGAAAAGGGGAAATCAACTAAATGTACTATGTGGATTATAGATTATAGAAACCAATTGTTAATGATTTTTCTTTACAAATGTAAACCCAGCAAACACACTGTTTACCAACTATTAAGTGATTTATGTTTTAAAAAATCAATAAAATATATGGGGGAAAAATACCAGCTGAGTTCAGGAAGAATTAGGGAAGCAGTGGTGGGCAACACTCGCTTTCTAGCAGCAAAGGAATGGAGCTCCTATTGTGCTCATCTATAAACAGAAATTCAATATTGTACCGTATTTTCCGGCATATAAGATGACTTTCTAAACCCTGAAAATCTTCTCAAAAGTTGGGAGTCGTCTTATATGCCCAGTCGTCTTATACGCCGGAATATATGGTAGATATCAAATTTATTGATGTGCTAATTATATTATGTGAATGCAGTCACTGGGACTACAATAAGATTAAAAATATAAATAATTTGTCATCGGATTTTTGTATTTTTTGATGAAACAGCCACAAGTATTTTCTTGACTTGATTTCCTAGTTTGTTCCCATCTATCTTATCACATGTTTAGGTTTAGGTCCACATGTTGATTTATTACAACAGAAATGTGAAAAGACCATATAGCAAAATTAAGTACAATTAGGTTTTATCCACTGTTGGAACAGTTTCTGACAAAAATCAGTATGGAATGAATGCCTATGGCAAATTGCAAGGGTATAACTACAAATATAATTTAAAAAAAACATTTCCTTTTTTAAATGTTGTTTTCTATTCTACCTCCTTCTAGTGTAGTATCTTTGGAAATAATCTCAAAGACCTGGTAGATAAATACCAGAATTACAAAGATGCTGCATCTGGACTTCTGTCTGGACTCCAGGACTGTGAAGAAGCTGTGAATAAACAACTATCTGAAGCAATTGCTGGGGATCCAAAAAATCTCCAAAGGCAGCTAGAAGAAACCAAGGTAAATCTTGTGCTAGGTTAAAGACATTAAGGCAAGGGCAGATTACAAGGGAAAGAAAGGAAAACCCTCCATATTTTAATGCAATTTGCCTAATGCAGATTTTCCTGAAACTGTATGATAACTTGAATTAGTGGCATGGTGGCCTAAAGGTGGAGCTCTTGCCTCACAATCAGGAGGCTGTGAGTTCAATCCTAGGTAGTGGCAGATATTTTTCTCTCTTGGCGCTGTGAATAATTGCCTGCTGCAAACTCCATGTAGGTGTCAGGAAGGGCATCCAGTCAGTAAACTCTCAAACTCCATTCAATCGCCCCAACTTTACCTCAGTGCAAGGAGTTACAGGGTTGCTAAAAGAAAAAAAATAGCCTGAATACAAATACCTTTCAATACTTCAACTTTTTCAAAACGTGTAAAAAAGTGATATTAGGGAAAGTACACACAAAATACTTTCTTGAGTTAAAATAAAATTGCTGATCAAGGTTGGGTAGGCTTTGAATTTTTTTTTCACTTTTTCAAGTTAAAATGACTCTTAAAGGAACAACACGTTTACTTGCTTTTTTAAAAAGCTTGAAAATGTTGTGATGCTTTACCTAATATTAGAAAAGTGCTGCCTGTATGTCTTCTGAAGAGTGTCTTCGGAATCGTTTTGAAAGAAACTACAGACTTGCTGCCTATCAAGAAAAAGAGAACTGCATTAATTCAGAAATTTCCAGTGTATTAAAAATAAGTTTGGGTTAAATTCCATAAAAGAGGTAGTGAGCATCTTTTAAAGGTAGTCCTCACTTAACAGTGGTAATTGGGACCAGAATTTCCATCACTAAATGAGGTGGTTGTAAAAAGCATGATGTCATATGGCTGTGCCACTTAATGATAGAAATTCTGGCACTTCCTAATGCCATCATTAGGCAAATCATCACAGATAGTTAAGCAAGGACAAGACGTGGTCGCCATTTGCAACCTCCTGCCGGCTTCCCCAATGACTTTGCTTGTAGAAAGCTGGCAAAGAACATCACAAATGGTGATCATATGACCACAGGAATGCTGTGACTGATACAAGTACGAGGACCAGTCATAAGGACCATCTGTTCAATGCTGTGTTAACTTTGAATGGTTGCTGAATGAGTCATTGAACTTTGGGCAAGTGCTGAATGTGGTCCAGGCAGAGGGCTGGGAGTTAGATGGACTGGGAGATTACCATTGCTGTTGAATGTTCATTGGGTTTGATATCACAAGCCTGCAATTTTTATCCTACTGTTTGTTGCTTTTGGAATTTTGTTTGTTTGTTTGTTTGTTAATTGATCAAATTTATTGGCTGCCCATCTTACCACCAGGTAACTCTGGACAGCTTACAATGTGCATCGTTAGCCTCCCACAGTTATACTTGTGAGATGAGTTCAAAAGTAAATTGATTTAATAAATAAATACATGCTTTAAAAAAGTCTCATTTAAGCCAAAGCTACTTTTTGCAGCTGATAAAACTACTTAGTAATCCCGCGAGACAGTGACCAAGACAGTGACCTTGGCTGCATGAATAGGATAATCCTTTTACCAAGATTAAGTGTTCAAAATACTCTTCATTCCCCAAAGTCCTAGCTTTGTTTCTAGTATTCTCCAAGGATTTCCTTAAAAAGCAAAGCAACACCTGCCCCAACCCTCATGGGAAAAGGGATTATGGTTGCAATAATGAAAAATAATTACATCTTAATACAATAAAGTCAATACATTACTGAAACTGAAAATTGCAAAATAATAAATTAAGGCACAACCCAAAGAAATAAAACAAGAATGTAGCTTGGATAAAAATAAATGTTTTATGCATATGGCATAAAGCAAAATGTTCAGAGAAAGACGAGCAAGAGAGCTGTTCTCTTGCAGCCTGTCCCTTTTCTGTTCCAAGTGACATCTCTCATAGCAGGCTGTAGTTTTAAAATAATAAATATTTTTCCCAATGAAGAAGAGTGTGTTGACATGATATTAAGATGAAGTATAAAATATGTGCTGGTTGACAAATAAGGTTGAGGTTGGTGAACTGCTTGACACTCTAGTTGCCCTCTCCTCATTATAATATTGTCATAAATAAACTTTATTGTTATTGTATGTGTATACACAGTGTACACATACAACGAAATTTACTTGACACCCAAAGACCAGGTCCCACACACATAATCCCCAAACACACTCCACCCACCACAATTCCCCACCCCTAGAACCACCCAAACATCCACACAACAGACCAAGTAATACTGTCCAAGAGTTCACTAATGGTGGCCCTTTAGTTCATTGTTGAGTGCAATTATAGCTCTGGGATAAAAACTATTCAGAAAACATGAGGTCCAAGTTTTAATCATTCTGTATCTTCTGCCAGAAGGCAACAGTCCAAAAAGATTGTAAGCAGGATGGGAAGAGTCCCTGAGGATGTTTTACAACTTCCTCAAGCAACGAGATTCGAAGATGTTGCCCAGGGCTGGTAGTTGGAATCCGATAATATTCTGGGCAGTTTTAATGATTCTCTGTAGAGCTTTTTTGTCCACTACAGAGCTACTTCCATACCATGCAAGAATGCCGTATGTCAGGACACTCTCATTGGTGCTGTGATAGTAGGACAGAAGTAGATGCTGAGATAGATTTATCTTCCTGAGCATTCTCAGGAAGTACAGCCTCTTCTGTGCCTTCTTCACAAGCATGTTAGCATTCATAGTCCATGAGAGCTCCTCCGAGATATAAGTGTCCAGAAATTTAAAACTACCCACCCTCTCTACCTCCTCACCATTTATGTACAATGGTAAATGTACATCTCTTTTCCTCCTGAAGTCAATTATAAGTTCTTTAGTTATTGTATATAATGAACAAAATGCATCTATTATTAAACTGAAAATTTGTATCACAGATATTCAGCTACTCATTCACGGTTTGAGATGACTCTATCAAAAGCCCGGGTAAGGAAAGAGAGAAATATGTCACAGAGGGCAAAATATGCCAGGAGAGGTTTCTTCTTAACCTCATGGAATTGAATAAGAGTACAGTCAGCAACAGGCTACATAGTACACTGCTTGCTCAAAATTAAAATTGAGTTTTTGTGCTGCATCAGACCAAGAATTCATGTTGTGTTGAACGTGACACCCAGAATGACTAAAAAGATGCTCTTGGAAATTAAGAAGCAGAATAAGTTGTAAATAGTCACCAGTATGATTGTTACTAGCACTTAACATCTCCCAGTAAATCTCATTGCTCTTTTAAATTCTTTTTAAAAAGCAACTAACATAATTTAAATGGTACAATTTTATAGGTGCTTCAAGGACAAGTATCTAGTCATCAGGTTGCAGTAGAGAAATTGAAAAAAGCAGCTGAAGTGCTTTTTGACACGAGAGGAGAATTATTGCCGGACAAAGATGAAATCCAGCATACACTGGGTAAGATGAGTCACAGTCTCTTCTGTTTTCTTCTTCCATTGCTCACATTTGGACACATCTGCTCTGGTTGACTTTGTGACTCCCTCTTTTTTCCTTCCTTGACTCATCTGTTTCTACCTTTGTTCTTTAATTCTGAGCCAAATTTCAGATCCAGCTCCTCACATTTGATGCATACAATCTACAGATAGTAAATAATTATCCAGCTTTTACTTAAACTTAGAGGGAGGGAGAGCCATTGTTTAATATAAAGTCATAGGATTTAATAATGCTTAAATTTGGCTCAGTTGTGCACTAATATTTTTGAACCAGATCTGATTGTAGCAGATCATTTTTAAACGCTGATTCATGCTAACTTTCTGACTTTTGTGTGTATGTATAAACCAGTTTTGAAGTGCAAAGAGACCGCGGGGGCTGAGATGGAGGACAGAGAATATACAAGAGTAAATTACATGAAGGTTACAATGACCTTCCAATTTATTTATGACATTATGAAAGAGCATCTGCTCTACATCAAAATGTATCCTTGGCTATATAATACAAGTCATAACTTTTAAATAGATGTAAGACATCTGCAAGAAAAAAATAGAGAATTTAGCAAGATAAAAGCTGTTTACCAAACAAAACAAATTTTTCAGATTTCCAGGTTACGTTCAAAGAACTTCTGCACATGCCTAGTGAACATAAAAACTAGCCAGCCCTATGTAGAATTTTGTTTCATATTTTAAGCAGAAAAGAATTGGAGAAGTGCATTCATAGCGCACTCAAGCATTATAAGCTGGACATATTTGAATTCAATTAGGGAATTATGAATATCAGTGACTTAATTTAATATGTATATTGATATAATAATGATGATGATGATGATGATGGAAGGGACCTTGGAAGTCATCTAGTCCAACCCCCTGCTCAGGCAAGAAACCCTATACCATTTCGGACAAATGGCTGTCCAGTCTCTTCTTAAAAACTTCCAGTGTTGGAGCATTCACCACTTCTGGAGGCAGGTTAGAGAGACTGATACCAAGAAATGTGTAGTTAATAACTCGTTAAATTAAATTTAGATTTAGGGTTGATCCCGTTATTTCAATAAATTAAACCCTAGAATCTAGAGTAGGTGATATTTGAAGTTTTTGCATTTCTTTAAAAATTATAAGTGGTCTGGTCTAACAAACAAACTATACGGATTACTGGAACTTATATAAAGACCTAAAGATATAAGAGAAAACTGAGCATGCTAACTTAAGGCTTAACTTTCTTGATTTTAATCCTGGATTATGTGAAATCTGTTTAACATAGTTTCTACTTAACATATATTGCTATTTTTTTTTTTTGCCTTGCAATGCTTAATGCTGATAAATTTCTATATGCCTATTTAGCCATGTAATCTTTTTATGTCTGTTATTTTATTACCCATGCTTATTTATGCTGCATAAAAGTGTGCAAAAGACAGGTCTGTAATTTCATAGAAAAAATAATATTGCATATCGGGAGATGTAATTCATAAAAGCTCATTTGTATCTACCAGTCTTTATTGTGAGAATGTAAGGTAATTTAGAGAGACTTACAGTAATGATCTTCAAGAAAGATTCAAAAACATTAGGTTAAATTTTCTTTTTTAAAATTATAGTTTTTTCACCTTAGCACTGGTTCCTTAGAATTGCTACAATTAGATAGTGTTTTAACAGGATGGACCCACCAGCGTTATCCACAAATTTCAGGTACTCTAGCCAGTGTTTCCCAAACTTGACAATTTTAAGGCATGTGGACTTCAACTCCCAGAATTCCACAGCCAGCGTTGCTGTGGGAGTTGAAGTCCTCATGCCTTAAAATTGTCAAGTTTGGGAAACACTGTGAGTCTAGACATAGATCTGAAATAGAATGAATCAGATGTTCTCAAACCCCTGGAAATGTATTGTCAAAGTTGGCTAATGTGCATATATTTCATATTATGAATCCATGGATTCATAATATTCATAATATCCCTATTATGAATTCATAATCCGTATTATGAATGTCTCCCAGGACATTGTCTTGTATTTTACCAGTTTCCTAGACATAAATGGAAAAAATGAATATAGGAAAACCAGTTATTGTGGGTGAATAAATAAGGGAGAAAAGAATTTTCATTTAACTTAGATGAATCTTTTAAAAACTAAAAAGAAAAACAAATAGTTGAAAAAGAAAAACAGTTTAATCCCTTTTTTTAACTGACAAATGATTTAGCTGAATATCTTATGCTTCTGAACCACTTATAAAGAGAAATCTGGAAAAAAAAAGCCACACTCAAAATCCTGATTGTGGAGATAAATGCAAGATATGATCCTGTACTGTAGATCTCAGAAATAGCACAGCATCCATGCTGTGGCATGGAAATGGTAACTTACATAATAAGCCATTTCAATTTTCAGCTTGTATTCTGACTACTGTAAACAAAGTTCACATACAGATTTCTTCTTGAAGACTTCTATAGACTGATCTTATTACTAAGGGACATTTAGAAGTCACATTCAGATTGGCAAATTTCCTTTTAAAGTTCTGCAGGATCATTTAATAGCATTTTACAGAAGATGGATTGTTGGATATAATTCTATAGAACAGAGGTCCCCAACCTTTTGGGCACCAGGGACCAGTTCTGTGCAGAAAGGTTTTTCCGCGGACCAGAGTGTGTGTGGTTTTGTGTGCTGCCTGCATCCTACCGATGGGGTTTTGCTTGTTTGTGCGGACCAGTTGCTGGCATGCCGTGGCCCGGTACCAGTCCATGGACTGGGGGCTGGGACTCCTGCTATAGAAGATAGTCCCTTCTATTATAAAGCGCATCACCATGAACTCTCTGTGTGTGTATGTATAAATAAACAAAAGATGTATCTACTGCCCCAATCCAACAGACTTTTTTTCTTCTTTTCAGACACTATTGTAGATAAGTATAATCAGTTATCTAAAGCAGTGAACGATCGTAATGAAAAGCTCCAAATAACTTTGACTCGTTCATTAAGCGTTCAGGATGGATTAGATGAAATGCTAGATTGGATGAATGGTGTTGAGAAGAATCTCGAGGTACATAGCCAAGTGCCTTTGAACTCTGCTGCTATTGAAGATGTCATTAGCAAAAATATGGTACGTAGAACTTCAATAGAACCAATTCTTTCTCTAATAAGGAGAAAATTGTAAGAGAAGAGAATGATTTGAATTGCATGAAAAGAATCAAAGAAGAATAAACTCTGCTTCAAAACAGTGCCCAGTACCAAGCCATAGTACAGTTTGCTTGATTTTGTCTTTGTGTGATTTGTGATTCCAGTAATTGCAGACGATTAGTCATGTTTTATGATTTAGCCTAGTGAATTAGGACAGAGTGGTTTATTAAACAAGCTATTTTTCGGGGAAACTATAGTTATTATGTGAGGCCACCCAGTTACTTTCTTTAGGGCCTATAGTACATATACCAGTATATTTTGATAATATTCTGATAAGCTGACAGCTAAATATCCCAAAGTGAGATGTTTCTATGCAAATCCTTTAGTCTGAATATACTAACACCAATTCCATATGGGGGGGGGGTTATCAGTTGATGAACAAAACCAAAGATATACTTTACCAATGTCCTTAAGTAACTATTGTCTTTTTTACACCTAAATGTGTACTGAACTACTGAAGGAGCTGACTTTAGAAGTCAATTATTTGTGCTGGCAATCACATTTCATGCACAATAGATACGCACACACCCTATCTTGGACATTTTCTGAAACAATTTTATTTCAGGCACTAGAACAAGACATTATAGGCCGTCAGAGCAGCCTAAACGCCATGAAAGAAAAAATGAAGAAATTCATGGAAACTGCAGATCCCTCAACTGCATCTTCCTTAGAAGCTAAAATGAATGAGCTTTCCCAAAGGTTTTGCGAAGCTCATAATAAACAAAAGAAAAAACTAGAAGACATGGAAAAACTGAAGACCAGAGTAGAACTGTTTGAATGTCTGTCTGACAAACTTCAGTCATTCTTCGACAAGAAAGCTCAAGCCCTCAATGAGGCTGATATTCCAGGAAAGGACGTTGCTGAAATGTTCCTTTGTGTGCAGGTACAGTGTGTTTTTCATCCTGTGAAGTGCTGTTCTAGTCTTTACTGAATACCACTCTAAAATGATAATGGAAGCTGTTAAGTTCAAGGACTAAATGTTGAATCTTAGGATTATCCAGTCAGGTATAAAGCAGTTTCTTTCTTCACTTTATAGGAAACCAACACAGAATTGATGGAGCAGAAGAAAGATCTTGAAGTTTTGCAATACCTCATTGAAGAACTTTCTCCTCATGTTCTACCAGGAGACAAGTCATTGGTGTTAGAAAAAGTAAATGTCTTGTCAAAGAAATTTAGGGAAATGGAAGAGATGGTACAAGAAAAGTGAGTATAGTGACTGAATTTTAGAATGGAGATGAAAGATAATGATTAGATGACAACAGCAAGGCTGTCAAAAAGTTACTGATTTTTTTTGTGGTTTAATGATTAATCGATTACAATTATCATGACTTTATTTGAGAGCCTTTTGACAATAATTTAGATAATAATAATAAAAAAAGTTGGAAGGGACCTTGGAGATCATCTAGTCTAGCCCCCTGCTCAGGCAGGAAACCCTGTAGTACCATTTCAGACAAGTGGCTGTCCAGTATTGGAGCATTCACAGCTTCTGGAGGTAGGTTGTTCATATAACGAGTGGCATGTTTCATAAATGAGAGATAAAATTATATTTAAGGCTGACTAGTACTTTTGTATTGCAGTAACACTGGGTTGCTCTAAGTTGGATGCTATCTGGACAGGCGACTTAGTTTCTAGTAAGAATTTTAGCCTGTGGGCCTTAAGTGGGCACACTTCTGTATAACTTTACTTCTGTCCCCTGTACTTTGGTTTTCTGCCTTTCCTGATGGTGATAGCTTTGGAAAGTTAACAGGAGGATGGATTCACACAATCGTGAATGCTTCTCTTGGGGAGAGGATAACCCTGTGACGGTCCTCTATGGTCATCTATTGAATCATGCCTGGGTCTCATCCTATTTGGATTACTGCAGTGCACTTGGTGGGGAGGGGTTGCTGCTTGTGAATATTACATAGAAGCTGCAAATGGTCCAGAATGCAGCATTTCAGTAGTTACTGATGCAACAATGTGATAAGCCCGTGTTACGCCTTTGGTGTGACAGTTAACACTAGTTGCCAGTTTTCTTCCATGCGTAATTCAAAGTGATGGTAATCATTTTTAAGGCCTTAAGATCTGGATATCTGTAGAATCTTTTGCCAGTCTCTATGTGAACAGATTTATTTATTTATTTTATTTTTAAAATTTATAAACCGCCCCACTCCCAAAGGATTCTGGGCGGCTAACAATAAAAACACCATAAAACATGACAAAACAAACAGTACAATAACAGTCATCCAGGGGTCAGATTTTATAAACCCCAGGCCTGCCGGAAAAGCCAGGTCTTAAGCAGCTTACGGAAAACCAACAGAGTGGGAGCGGTCCTAATCTCCGGGGGGAGCTGGTTCCAAGACGTGGGCGCCATCACAGAGAAAGCCTTCCTTTGCGGATGCAGTATGCCTGCTCAAGGAGAGTTTTTTTTTTTGTCACAGCTGTTTGTTAACTTTATCCAACTATTTCAATATATATTGGCACTCTGAATATAGCTTTTACAACTGGTTTAACTTACAAAAGTACTGCATATTTAATTCCGAGGTCAGGGAGGCCCCAGCTTTCCCAATTCACTTTTTCTGTTTTTAATTTTATAGAGAGAAGGATGTGTCCTCTTGCCAACAACAAATTGATGCATTCAGGTGTTATGTTGAGTCTCTGAAGAAATGGGTAGACGAAACGACAGAAAGAATTCCCCATATACAGCCCTCTTTAAATACTGAGAGCTTAAAGAAACATTTGCAAAGCACCAAGGTATAAACTGTGTTTGTCTTTACAGGTAGTACCTCCAGACAAAGGATTTTTATGTTCGTTAATTAAACAATGGTCTCTGAACTGAAGGGGTTGCAAACACTATTGGTTGTGCGGTATCACTCATTTAATTCAGGCCAGAATGGATTAAACCTGTGTGGTGTGTCCAAGGATTTTCCTACACGTTATAAAGGAGAGAGCCACTCATTGTGCACCAAAGTTTATTTGTGTAATGGGAGCATATATAAAATGGAAAATTTGTGTGGGTTCAAACCTGAAATAAACATACGACCTTCCACATGTTCTCCTGGGAAATAATGAATATTGTTCTAAATACTTCTGTGCTTTAAGAGGCAAGGAGGACAAGGTGTATTGTACAGTATGTCCCTGCACTTTCTCCTTTGCTCATCAGCTTCCAGTGTAGCTAATAAACTTCCAGTAGTTAATAAACGCTGCAGAATTTCAAAAGATATTTGAGTTCTGATATTTTCAAGGTTAATTCTGAGTATAGATTATACATCATAATGGATAAAACAAGATATGAGAAAAGCATATCCAGTCATGTTAAGTCCTTTCAAGTGTAGATATGTTCTCTCCAAATGATAATTGTAGTTACTGTTGAAAATAATAGTTTGTTCATTCCTTAGGATTTGGAAGATGAATGGAGTGCAAAGGCACCTGATCTTAAGAAAATGAATAGCAGAGGAAATGCTTTGTGTAACCTAATTATTGCTGTGACTTCCACTGCAAAATCATGGGGAGTAAAGTCAGGTATGTTGCCTGGATAAGCATAATTCTGAATGTTTGATACATTTGAAATGATATATAAAATGATTAATAAAATATCATTCTAAGAAATATTCCCCAAATCATTGCTATATTTATTGAAAAAAAATTGAACAGTCATAATGTACAACTGGAATAAAATTATTAATAAAATACGTCATTCTAAGAAATATTCCCCAAATCATCGCTAAATTTATTGGGGAAAAAATGAACAGTCATTTTGGTAATCCTGAAAGTGATGAGTCTAATTCTTACTTAATATTTAATAATGCTAATGAACAGAATGGATTAAGAAAATCATTTAATATACCATCGATTCATTTTCATGTCCGTATTTTTATTGCATCATGTAGCCTAATATTTGGTGCAAATCATTCAGTTTCTCAATGTATGACATGGGTTTGTCTGCTTACCGCAGTACATACTATACTTCTGACCACTTTGTTTCAAAAGAGCTTCCATATTGTTTTTCCTTACATTCATTTTGCATTCAATCTGTTGGGAGGATTCTCTATTTTCTGACACTTTTTCATTTAGGATTCCTACTTTCTCTGTTGCAGTCATTTTATTTTTACTCTTGTTTCTCTTAACATATTTCCTTTCCATCCGTGTTATTTTTTTTCTTGGCCCTACCAAATAATGGCTTATCCCATGTCAAGAACTGATCATTGCACATGTATCTTTTACCAGAAACAATCATATCAATCATGTTTTTCAATGTAGTCCTTCTCTATAGGTGTGTATGAATAGACATGTTTAAACCATGTATCTAAAGCAGATGCTCATCAAAACCATGTATTTCTAAGCAGATACTCTTCTCAGTTCTTGAGTATCCAGATGGGTCAATAACTTTCTCTTACTCTCTTGTTTTATTTCTTTCTATCTATTCATACCACCTAATAGAACTTTTTCCCCTTTTGGATCATGTTCAGAATATTGCACAATTTCCCCCCAAACAAAAACTAGTTCTTCCACTGTTACCATTTATTGGGTCGTAACATGGTGCTGACTGAAGCAGATTATCAGTAAGACAGTTTGAAGAATTGGCAGATTATGATCTCCATTATCTTCCTATCCATGGCTACTCTTAGATATCCATGGATATCTTCCCAGTTGTTTGCTTGCCATTGTATGGTTTCAAGCAAGATAAGATACAGTTCCTGTCACACACACTTTCTTATAAGCACTTGAAATTTCTTTCCTACTTTAATAGCAAAACATTGTCCTTTTTCTGATTCCTTTGGGGCCATCCTGCCCTGTTATACTCCTTTGACATATTTTGTCTTGCTTCTTCTGTGGAGTTTGTTTTGTTTCAAGTTTCATTTAACTCCTGTGGAGAAATAAAACAGCAAATCAAAAGGATGTTATTCATGGAAGGAAGCAGGGGAGGCAAATTATGAATATTGTATTGCGATATTTCAGTAAAAAGTTTTGCCCTTTTGCATTTGTGTTGTAAGATCACACTCAAGCAAGTAAGCGTCAGAACAATATTGTGATACTACAGCTCAGTAAAGTTGGCTTGTGGTAGGTGCTAGTGCTGGGGACAGAAAACCTAAAGTTCTGTCCCAAAGTTTGTGAGATAGAAAATGTGCTAGTCATGGCCAAGAATGGTGTTGTTTAAAAGCACAAAGCTTACTCGTGTTTATCTTCACGATCTCTTCATTCATGACTGTTGTGAAAAACATTTTCTTCTTGTTATTGGAGATTATGACACAGTTTACCCACCAATTCGGCAACAACAGAGGCCTGCTTTATTATGTGATGCTCTCCTAGGGTCTTTAGGCCTGAGTGCTCAAAAGAGAGAATAGAATGCAGTTCTCAGAAGTGACTCTCCCACATAGTTGGGCAAATGCATCTACTGTGTAGTGATCAGAACAGCTGTGATAGCTTAAAATTAGATTGGATTGGTACTGGCATTAGGTAGACAGGCTGCTTATCTTAGGTATCTGGTTTTTGCTGGCATTGGATGTAGTATATCTTAATTACTTGATTTACTGTTCTCTGAGGGTAAGATTTTTCTGCCTCACTGCCAGAATATGTTGATCGATCTTGAGTACCATACACCAGGGGTCCCCAACCCCCATTCCATGGAGCATTACCGGGCCACAGCATGCCAGCAACCAGTCCGCACAAACAAGCAAAACCCCATCTGCGGGATGCAGGCAGCACCCAAAACCACGCCCCCTCTGGTCCACAGAAAAACCACTCTCCACAGAACCGGTCCTTGGTGCCCAAAAGGTTGGGGACCTCTGCCATACACCTTGATTGAATAAGGGAAAAAGTTGTCATTGTTCATGACTACTTTGCCTCAGGATACAAAATATCTTGGGACAGGTGCACCACTTCATTCTGTGTTGTAGCAACTGGGTATTGTGTTTCAAGATATGGGATTTTTACCCAGAGGTGAATGCACATTAGGTATAGTCTTTAGGCTAGTGGACTAAATCTGCCCAGTAATATTTTGAAAAAGCCTGCTGAGTTTTCTCTCCTGGTTGGGTTAAGAAACATTGATTAGGTGATAGGATTTTTCTATTTTGGCCCACATGTTTTAGAATTCTTTGCCTTCAGAATCCTCCTCCTTGACATTCAATAAGGGAGCTAAAATAAGTCCATTCTCCCAGGATCTTAAATCCAGCTGATTGTTTAGTACCATCCATCTTGGGATGGCTTTAGCAGTCTAAATGCTGTTTTCATTAGTTTACTTTGTTGTATAGCGTGTTACAAACTGTAAATTAATTAAATGTCTCGCATTCCTATAATACACAATCTAGACCGTGAGAATGATTCAAGGAAGCAGTATGGCCATTTGCATCCCCATTAATGTTAGTCAGCACTTCAGACATGTCTGTCTGTTTTCTGCAACTGCCAAGGGATTAAAAAAAAGGCACAGATGCTTTAAAGCAGGGGTCTCCAACCCCCGGTCCGTGGACTGGTACCAGGCCACAGCATGCCAGCAACCGGTCCGCACAAACAAGCAAAGCCCCATTCGCAAGATGCAGGCAGCACACAAAACCATGCACTCTCCCGTCTGTGCAAAAAACTTTCTCCACAGAACCGGTCCCTGGTCCCAAAAGGTTGGGGATGTAGTCAGGGTGCAAATATGAGCTTTTTCTTAACTCTGAAGCACTCTCGGGGAACTCGGCCCAAAGCATTCCACAGTCTGCACATTTTGTTCCACTGTATTACTGGCTTTAAGTATTAGGAGAGTTTAAGCCTGAAAAACTCTGTGCATCTGAGTGTACTGTGAAAATCTTTCTTGAGGAGAAGGAAAAAGAGCTGAATCTAAACTTTCTAAATTACAGCACTGTAAAAAAAAAAAAAAACTATAGTCAATTCCTAAGGCAGGAAAGGAGAGAAAAAAAATCTAGAAACCTCATGTGATTTCACCATTGGTAGCAGTAGCAGTCTAGTTATCAGCCTATCAAATTTGTAAGACCCTCCTGACTCCATAATGACACTGAGCACTAAACAGTTTGGAATAACATAACACAGAAAAGAGGCATGAACCTCTAATGAGAGTAAAATAAACACATGGCTTTAGCATAAAACATTCCCACAAGCCGCCCCCATTGATCTTAGTCCAAGGCCTGACGGAGAAAACCAGGTTTAAAGATGCCATTCAAACAAGGTTAGAATAGAGACCACATGGACCTGCTGATTCATATTAACAGGTAAAAGAAATGCTATTTTAATAGCAAAAATCTGCTGAGAATGCTGCTCACTTCTGTATTAGATTTACTTTGAAAAGTGGAAGCTTAGTGGCCGATACGTTAGTGAGAATTCTGCCACAGGGTGAAGTATAGGGCGGTCTTATAATTGTATTATGAGAGTATCTCACTTACTTAACTGATTTATTTTGTCTCCCTATGTTCCAGCTGCCATTAGACTAATGCTCGCTTCCCACCTGCTAGTGAGAAGTGAATAACCTGGCCTTTTCCAAGGCTTCAATTAATTCTGCTCCATTAAATAATCATGTTTTGCAATCTTGCTTATAATGAAAAGCAATAGATACTAATAAGAGCTCTTGTTTCTGTCATAAATAATAGATATTTTAGTAGTGCATCATCATCATCAAGTTGGCTTTGACCCAGCTAAAAGTCAGCATTTCTGAAACCAGTTCTGTGATTTAGAAATTTACTAATCACACAACAAAGTGATGATTGTGCTAAAATTAAAGTTTGGGTTGCCTCTTACGTCACATGTCATTTGCCCTAAAATGACCTCAAACAATATTTAGAACCCTTTTATACAGTTATAGAGTTGTGTTTGTTAAGTCACGATTGCAATTTTTCAACTTAGCTATACAAAGCATTTCTCATTGTTTCAGAAATTAGAAACAGATGGTCCAGAACAAACAAGTGCAGGGTTGACTTTTTAATTATTTGCTGAATTATAGTATTGTATTCCCAAAGAGCAAAACAGAGTTTGTTATCCTCTTTCAAGCAACAACTATTAGATGCAAACAAGTCTTGCCTTTTTGCAAAATATGCATCGGATGGTTTCTCATACAATTTTTGGGACGTGAGTCTTCATATTTAAAGCTCCCTGTCCTGTACAGTTCTCTCCAGAAGTAAGTTCTTTTGTATGAAGGCTTAATTTTAGGCAAGAATATAATCCTGATTGTCATTCTTCCACTGTATTGTCATGTAGTTCTGAATCTCCTTTCTACCAGTTTTCAGCTTCTTACCACGACACTTCTGTTGTGCTGATGGAGGATTGATTTTATAATGAATAATTGTATTATGTTGGTATAAAGATGCCCCCGTAACTAAGATGCTGTTTAGATTAGTATGGTTCTACTGGTAGCAGTAAGATAGGATAAGGGGTTCAACGCCCTTTTCAAGCACAGAATTTTAAGCAAGTTATTGTACAAATTTCACTTCGATATTTGTAAAATGGGAATAATAATATATCCTAGAAGATTAAATAAAATAAAAATATAATTAAAGATTAGGAACATAAAATGTATAAATACTGGACTGGTTTTGTTTTTTTTTATAAATCTTTAGATTCTAAATGTGAAAGACAGGACAAGTTTCTGTTGTTGTTGATGGAAAAGTTCCCTGTATAATATAATAACAGTGAGAGAGCAGAACAACTTGTCTCCCTACCACTGGAAACCAGCCTACTGATTATGATTGCCTGGGCTGGCTTCTGCTGCATCTACTAGTAAATATCTCTTAGTGAAAGAACCCTAAAGACATTAATTCAGTGACAACATGACTTGGCAACACTGTTTCAGGGGTTCTCAACCTTGGCAACTTCTGGGAGTTGAAGTCCACAAGTCTTAAAGTTGCCAAGGTTGAGAACCCCTGGATGAAACAGAATATCCCGGATCAGGCCAAGGAACCTCTTGCTAGGACAATTCCTTGATTACAATAAAATTCTTAAAACAGCAGAGGCCAACCTCCAATGGTTGAATACAGCTTGTTCAAATAATCACATACATCCTCCCAAAGACAAATTTTACAGCTGAGAAATAAATTACACACAGCACTAGCATTGGTTATAACGTGATCAATTGTAAAAGTTAAAGACCATCTAAGGAGGACTAGAGCAGAGGTCCCCAACTTTTTGGGAACCAGGGACCGATTCTATGGAGAAAGGTTTTTCCATCGACCGGAGAGTGTGTGGTTTTGTATGCTGTCTGCATCCCATAGATGGGGCTTTGCTTGTTTGTGCAGACTGGTTGCTGGCATGCTGAGGCCCGGTACCAGTCCACGGACCGAGGATTGGGGACCCCTGGACCAGAGAGGGAAATTAAGGGTCCCCCCTCATGATAACTGACCTTTGTTCCTAATGAGAAAAATGGGATTGAGGAAAATAGAGGGTTCTGCTCTACTGTTTACATACTCCCAATCAAATATGTATTACCTTTAATTAAGGTAATTTCTTAAAAATGGATGTGATCTTTTATGTTTCCATGTTAAATCTAGTCTAGTCCCTATATTTGATGAAAAAGAATTTTAGAATTACTTAAATAATTATGAACTCTGAATCTTAGCTTTCATTTTTTTAGATGTGCTTGGGGAAATACTGAATGGAGATGGAACAGCTACTGGTAATCAGGGTTTCATGGCAAACAAAGGTAAGTACCAGTTAATTGTATTTCATCTAGATTTATAGAGTGCTACATGTTATAGTGGTCTTAACTTGCACCCTTAATGAATTTCCTGAAATCCCATAATTTCCTTAGTGATTATCATTATCTAAGAATCAGGGCGAGAACCAGAATTCCAAATTTGTCTCATGCACAAATATTAAAAAGCAGTTATGTTGGTCCATGAAAACAAAATCCAATTCCATATATATAGGTAATGCCTCTGTTCAGATTAAACAAAATAATTCAAAAGAATGTGCAACTTTGCATATGTAAAGCTACTATGGGGAGTCAAACATACAAGACATGAAGTTTCCTTCACAGAATTTGTTTTGTCTATACTTTACTATCAGCTGAACAAGCAAAAATATCTCTCTCTGTCTCTGTCTCTCTCTGTCTCTCTCTCTCTGTCTGTGTGTGTGTGTAAATAAGAATTTAAACTTTTAATTATATTTGTATCTTCAGATGAAATATTATGTAATTTAGTTTTTAAGATAAATATATGTGAGACCCCTCTCTCACAGAACTGACTACGATTCAAAATAGCATGTCAGCTGTAAATCAGAGTTATGATGACTTGGGAGCAACACTGAAGAACAAAGGATCAGAATTGGAATCAATGCTTTTAAATATGCAAAACATTCAAGAAGAAACGAGTTCTATGATGAAATGGTTACAGAAAATGGACACAGTTGCAGCTAAATGGGAAACAACTATTCTTGACAGTGAAACAGTTAAAGAAAAAGTTGATCAGCATAAGGTAATCTTCAATCTTCAAAACTTATCTGTGGAGAATAATTAATGTGTAAAGTGAATTTTTGAGATTTATGGGAAGATATAGAAGACCATTTATGGGAAGATATAGAAGACCATTCTCCCATACATTTTTGCATAGACTCATTGTGGATATCTGCTAAATATGTTAGTGATGTTACTGCTTGGTGATTAAGCAGTCTTACAAATCCCCAAAAATATTTAACAATAAGTAAATTATTTCTATAGTACAATCAGAATTTCATTTTTAATAGCCTGAATTTGGCTGACTGTTAAATTTGCTTAAATAGATAAAGAAACCACTTGGTCACCATTGAATCAAAAATCTTAGTTTTATGTATTTTTACTATACTTGTGTGTGCTTTTGTTTGTTTTTATAGCTATTTGAAACAGAATTGAAGCAGAATGAGAGTAAAGTGCAAGAGCTGAAGGACAGAGTCACAGAGTTGCTGGAAAAAAACCCTGATTCTTCTGAGGTGCCAAAATGGAAACAAATGTTAGACAAAATAGGTATTAATTTTTTGCTTCCTGTAGGCATTGGATAGGTCTGAAAGTTAATATGCTAATATATTTAAACTCCTCACTCAGTATCTGCTTGTATATTATTATTTGTAGCGCTACAGTGTCATTTATACAGCTGTATACTTATACTACTTACTCTTGTATAGGTTGAAGTTTGCTATAGCAATTCTGAATATACTATAATTCAATGCATTTTTTTTTTGGAGTGTAAACTCCACTTTTCTTCCAACTTATTCAAGATGAAAATATTTGAAGGTTAAGCAACTATGCCCGTTGTGTTGCTATTTCAGCTTAAATCAAGACCAAGGCATTAGCACTGTAGAGTTAGTATGGAAAACAGCCTTTTTATGTATCTTCATGCTCTTTTTTTGTACTGTAATACGTTTTCTGTCTTTTGTGTCATTTGGCTATTTTTCTAAAACATCCCTCTTAAACATTTTTGCCAAATATTGAGAATATGACCATGTTTGGACAAAAAAGATATGCATAACAATTCTCTCATTCCCACCTCTCCTGGAATTGTTGCACTTCAAAAAATGCTTGTTAATTTGTGCACCATTGATTGTGGTGAGCATTGCTGTACAAAGCTGCAGGACAGGAAGCTGTAAACATATAACAATAATATAAATAATCATGAAAGAAGTTTAAGGAACGGGCATAGGCAAATAAGTAGGTCAGCCTAAAGAAACAATTATACTGCAGCAGTATATAAATAGACAAAGATTACATATACAATTAGGCTTTGTTCTAAGTACAGGAAAAATATGTTATGCCCTATTTTGTTAATAATACTAAAAGCAGAAAAACTGCATGGGAAACTAATTTACATGGAGAATTAGCTCCCTCTTCCTCTGTGTAACGTATTAAAGTTTCCTCGACTCACTCAAATTTCAGACGAAGTTCAATGGTGTCCTAAAGACATGTCAGAGTGATGCTTTAGCAAAGTGGTGGGGTTCAAATATGTGAACAACCGGTTCCCTGTGTGGGTGTGGCTTCCAAAAGTCCATTCTGGGCCTGGGCAACAAAAAAATTAGCTGCTGGTTCTGCTGAAGTGGTGCGAACCGGCTGACTCCCACCACTGCTTTAGCATCACAATACCAAGTCTCAATCCTTTTCCAAAAAGAGAGGAACATGGTTACAGATACTGGCTACATGGTTACACATACAGGGGGTCACCACAACATGAGGAACTGTATTAAAGGGTTGCGGCATTAGGAAGGTTGAGAACCACTGACCTAGCATATTACAGACAGTTTGTAAGCATCCATTTACCCTCTTCCAAAATATACCTTTTCCTCTTCTGGTATGATTTTTTTCTGCCAGCGTGTTATTACTGGCTTAAGAGGTTTGCTGTCCAGTCTCCATTATTGAAGAAAAGCATTTTCTAAGATGTAATTTTAAAATTCAGTGTTTATTTTGTCATAGATTCTAAATGGAGTCAACTCAGCCAGGTAGCAGCTGATAGACAGAAAAAAATGGAGGAATCATCAAATTACCTGACCCAGTTTCAGGCAACTGAGGCTCAGTTAAACCAATGGCTGGTTGAAAAAGAATTAATGATCAGCGTGCTTGGACCACTATCAATCGATCCAAATATGCTAAACACACAGAAGCAGCAAGTCCAGGTAAATATTTCACTGTTTTTGGTATGGAGCCTATGTTCTTTTTCTGTTCAAAATGTAACCAAAGTAAATTTTGTTATCCATTTATTAATAACTGTAATGTAGTATACGTTCTCCTGCAAGCTATAGATTTCCTAATATAAAAAAACTAACAATAAGTTTGCTAAAAAAAATTCAGTGTCTATCTTTCAGAGGTTGTATTCCACTGAGGTGGTCTCTGAGCTTAGAGTAATCTATAACGTACAATATAAGTACTTTAATAGCCACCATATAGGACAGATAGGCAGAAGACAAGCAGAGTGCATCCATAAACACCAACTGGCAGTCAGAGGTCATGAAAATTCTTTAATCTTACTACACGTGGACAAACCCAAGCATGGTTTCAGTTGGGATACTGTGAGCATCCTAGATCAAGCTAAATCCAAAAAAAAAGCTAGGGAATTCCTGGAAGCTTGGCATTCAGACAAATCAGGCATTAGTAGACACAGAAAAATAAACTACAGTTACATACCATTCAAAGTATGTAATAAAATACAGATATATTGTTATAATAATAAAAAAAGAAAAAGAAACAAAAAAACCCCAGAATACATTATCTCCAGCAGTCAATTAGATAGCCATTAACACCATATAATCATACAGAAAACAGTGTTCTGATTAAGGAACTGCCAAGGAAAAAATCATTACCCTCCCAATCCTGCAAGGCAAGCTACTGTATATAAACTTGAAGCAAACCCCACCTTCACTAGCATGGATGATATTAGCTAGTTGAATAATGAAACATCTGCAACCAAGCTCAGAGACCCTGCACCAAGGACTCCACAGTTCAACCCTGAACTACATATATTCTCTTCTATTGGCAATATTAAATATTTTCAGTCTGTCTCCATAGATGTGTGCTGCAGCTGCCAAAAAAGCCAACACACTGCTAGGCTGCATTAACAGAGGGACAGAATCAAGATCACGTGAAGTGTTAATATCACTTTACAATGCCTTGGTAAGGCCACACTTGGAATACTCAATCCAGTTTTGGTCACCACGATGGAAAAAACATATTGAGACTCTAGAGAGTACAGAGAAGAGCAACAAAGATGATCAGGGGACAGGAGACTAAAACATATAAGGAACGGTTGCTGGAATTGGATATGTCTATTTAATGAAAAGAAGGACGAGGGGGGACATGATAGTAGTGTTCCAATATCTCAGGGGCTGCCACAAAGAAGAGGTAGTCAAGCTATTCTCCAAAGCGCCTGAAGGCAGGACAAGAAGCAATAGATGGAAACTAGTCAAGGAGAGAAGCAACCTAGAACTAAGGAGAAACTTCCTGACAGAACAATTAACCAGTGGAACAACCTGCCTCCAGAAGCGGTGAATGTTCCAACACTGGAAGTCTTTAAGAAGAGACTGGACAGTCATTTTCTGAAATGGTATAGGGTTTCCTGCCTGAGCAGGGGGTTGGACTAGATGACCTCCAAGATCCCTTTCAACATTATTATTATTATTATTATTATTATTATTATTATTATTATTACTACTACTACTACTACTATGGATAATCTCACAGTCAGCCAGATGTTCAGACTGGATTTGGCATTTTGTTTACCTATCGAGTCCTTACCCAGGACCTGGGATAGGCAGATGTGGATGTTTGATGTTATTATAGATATCGTCGCAGGATGGAGGCGGTTCCTAGTAAGGCCGCCTTTTGCAATTGACTAATGGCGAATTTGTCAATGCCAATGGTGTTCAAGTGGTGCTCCAGTTTTGGGATTGCACCCAAGGCGCTTTATTATTATTATTATTATTATTATTATTATTATTATTATTTACTGAAATTCATATATCTCTGTACACACACAAACACATTAAATTATATATAATGGCATTAGCCAAGATAGACTAAAACACATGAGTATGGAACTAAAGTTAGTTGGCCTGTTAAATAGCATTGATTATGACTTAATCACAGGTAACTATATGAGAACTGAAATCAATATTTATTATCATTGAGCCCATTTATTGACACATAAAAGATCATATGCGGCCAGTTGGATTTTTGCTGTTTTATATAGAGAGGAGATAAACTGTTAAAACAGGAACAGCCTTTCTGAGACAACTCTAAATAATGAATCTGCATGTACAATATGGCTTTGGCAGAACAGCTTCCATTTATATGAGAAATGGCGCTAGTAAAACTCAAGTAACAAAGTAGGGTGATGATGATTCTTCCTTGTACTTGTCTTCCTTGTACTTGTAACTTCTAACACACCCTGCCTCCTCAGATTCTGCTCAAAGAGTTTGATACCCGGAAACTCCAGTACGAACAGCTGTCTGAAGCAGGCCAGGGAATCCTGCAGAGGCCTGGCGAACACCCTCCTACTCATGAAAGAGTGAAGCTGCAGCTGACAGCAGTGGCACAGAAATGGGATGGTTTAACAGGACAGCTGAGCGACCGCTGTAGTCGAATTGAACAAGTCATTGTCAAAAGCACAGAGTACCAGAACTGTCTGAAAAGCCTTTCCGAGAAACTTAGCATGCTGGAAAATAAATTCAGCCAGAACCTGGCTAAAAGTGCAGACCCTGATTCTGTGAAGCAGCAACTGGAAACGGCTCAGGAAATAAAAGGCGAAATAGACCAAGAAATGTTACACTTAAATGCTGCTCAGGTTGTGTGCGAGGAATTGTCTGTGTTGGTGGCAGAAGATTACTTGAGAGCTGAACTTATTAGGCAATTGGAAGGTGTCTTAAAGCCTTTCAAGGAGATGGAACAAAAAGCAGGTAAGTGACAAAGCAATTAAAAAAATAAAATCCCAAATAATGGGGAAATGTAGCGTTTCTTGAAATGAAAATTAGCTATACACTAAAATCAGGATTGCAATTATTCCCCCAGATAGCTAGAACACGTTTGAAAAAAAAAGAAATATTCCCTGGGGCCTGAATTGTATGGATGGGTGGTGATAGGTCTGTTTTTCTAGATTGGACCAGTATCTTGGATCTCTGTATTTTATACTGAACGAGACACAATTGATAGAAGATTTATACACATGAACAGATGATTTCAACACCATTGCAATGTCACTCTCCTTGTTCCTTCATTTAAGAAACAGTGAAGAAATCTCAACGCATATATTTCTCCTGTGTAGATATATTTAAAGCATAATGGAGTTTCACACAGATTCACTGGGAGCTTTAGAATATGGAGGAATTAATACCATAGGAAGCAGTACTAAATTTCAGATTTAAACAGGGTACACTTTAACAGAGCATAAAACTCTTAACAGACATTGGCAGTGAGGTTTGCATTTTCTCTGGCAGGGCTTTGAAGAAAGCTTATGTAATTACCATTTTGTAGTAAAACGTATTGCATGTTTATTATAGACTAAAGGAGACAGTTAATTGCATAACTAATACATGTTATTTCTATTACACTATAGTTGGAAGCATTTCTGAAACCAATGATAATACCAATCTAGGACATGATTTTTTTTTTCAGACTCACGGGAATATCTCAATTTAGGATTGTTTTGCTACTTCTGACTTTATTTTACATCTTAAAATAATCTTATATTATTCAAATACTATACATTTTGACTAGCTAAATCCAATTGTTCTATAGCTATGGCGTACATTTATTAGAAATAACAGTTCTTTTTGACTGAAATAAAACCCGCCTTATTCTAACTTTGATGTGGTTTACAGTATTTTAAAATAGTATTTTTAAAAAAATCTTTTTCAGGCAGTCTCATTGAACAACTTCAGTTAACATATGCAAGTTCTCATCAGTTCCAACAAATGTCCAAAGACTTTCAAGCGTGGCTGGACACAAAGAAACAAACACAAAATCAGTGTCCTCCCATTTCCACTAAGCTAGAAAGCTTGCGGTCGTTAATTGAGGATCAGAAAGAATTTAAGGCAGCACTGTCTGACCAAATTGGTTCCTATGAAAAAATAATTTCAGAAGGTGAAAATCTGCTTCAAAAGACTCAAGGGACAGAAAAAACAGAATTGCAGTCCCAGCTCAACATGCTCAAAGCTAACTGGGATGAGCTGCATAAGCAAGCGAATGAAAGGCAAGATAAGTTGAATGATTGTTTGGAAAAGGCTCTCCGATACAAAGAACACGTAGAGGTCCTGCAATCCTGGATAACCAAGTGCCAAAATAACTTATCAGAAATTAAAATAGGCATCGATCCTGTTGAGATAGAGAATTCCATTGCTCAGGTGAAGACTTGGCAGAAGGATTTGGATAAACACCAAGGGATTGTTGAGCTCTTAAGTAACGCAGCAGGAAGTTTTCTTAGTGCCTGTCAAACTGATAAGGATGTTATTGAAGAGGAAAAGAAACGATTGATACAGAAGATGGATATGGTCACAGAAGAGTTACATATTAAAAGGGATACTCTTGAAAAGATGTCTCGGAGATTAAAAGAGTTTCAAGAATCATCCCAGGACATTAAGGAGCAGTTGAAGAATACTAGGGAACAGTTAGACATCCACAATGCTCTTAAACCTCAGGCTTATAGTAATAAACACTTAACTATTATGCAGGCTCAGCAGAAAGCCCTTCAGACGTTAAAGCCACAAGTAGATGTGACAAAAAAACTTGCCCAAGATCTGGTAGTGGATGCTTCCGATTCAGCAAATATCTCTGACCTCTTGTTGCAATCAGAATCGTTAGAAGAAGAATTCAACGCGGTCAACCAGCAGGTTGAGGATGAATGTTCCTTCCTGGAGACTAAGCTCCAGGGAATTGGCCATTTCCAAAATACCATTCGAGAGATGTTTTCTCAATTTGCAGAGTTTGATGATGAGCTGGATAGTATGGCTCCTGTGGCCAGGGATCTTGTCACACTGCAGTCCCAACAAAAGGACATCAAAGTTTTCCTTAAAAAATTGCAGGAATTGATAAGCAACAATGAAAACGCAAACAAGTCATGTAAAGTGATGTTAGCGAGTGACGCAGAGGCATCTCCTGATCTCGCAGGTATAAAAAGGGATTTAGAGGCTCTGAATAAGCAGTGCAACAAATTACTGGACAGAGCAAAAGCCAGGGAAGAGCAGATCGAAGGGACGATTAATCGCGTTGAAGAATTTTACAGCAAACTAAAGGGATTTGCCAAACTGCTTGAGGAAGCTGAAGAACACGAAGAGTCCCAAGGCCTTGTTGGAATGGAAACAGAGGTTATTAATCAACAACTGAAAGTATTTCAGGTAAGATCATTCTCCCTATAGCTTTAGAACAGAGTTGTCAAAATACTAGATGCAGCAAATTTGTTACCACAGTTAACTCATTATCTGTCCTCCAACATATTTGTGATTGATGAGTTCAGGCCTTGGTGTGCATTAAAGATTTTGGAGTATCTACAGTTTTAGCTTTATTTTTTTTTTAAATCATTTTACACATGTGCAAACTTTTGCATGTTTTAAAACTTTTTGAAATGTTAGGTTTTCTGCATAATATACTTGCACTGTTGTTTCCCACTCTTTGATGCAGCTCTCACTGGTTTCTATATGCTGCAGAGTTGTTTCACGGTGTTGGTGGAGGTGCCTTCTGATAGTGTTGTTGGACGATAGCACTGCCAATATAATCCTGAGTGAATTATAACAACATTGTGACTGTGTATAGATGTAAATGAAATGGAATCAGGTTTAGTCTTTGCGTAGATCTACATCTCTTATGTAGTCTTGCCCTTTTTTGGGGAATAAGCCCATACAGTGTTGTGTGAAGGCCAAATATGGTTCTCACAAACCCCTACCCCACCCCGCCCGAAAAGAAGCTGCTTTAAAAGTTGCAGTAGACCTTGAGATTCTTTAAGAAATTATATATTCTTTTTGCTTTTTGTTGTTGTTATTCTGTCCTGCTTAGATACTTTCTCTCAAGAGCAGCTGAATGGATAATGGATAGTACTGGCAGCCTCAAAGCATCCTTCTTTCCATATCCAGGTGAAAGAAGAAGCAGATGCAGCCCTGATTAGTGCTTTAATATCAAACAATTCCAAAAGGAAGACAATAAGGAGAACAAGAGGAGGAGCCTATAATTTGTTTTTCTTGTCAATACTGGCACAGACATGTAAATTTTCATGCTATTAAGATGTATTTCATTTGTGTACTGCACGTAATGAAATAAGAGTCTTCCCTCACATTAATGGTCCAGTCAAGCAAAGTCCTAGGTGAAGCCAAGCCAAACATTTGTTCCAGAGGGTTGTCCAAGAGTCACAACCTGGGATCATGCCAAGGATTATGTACTTAGGAGGACCTGTCTAAGTTAGGTTCCCAAGATCAGGAAAAGTGCCAATTGGTCAGGAAAACAAAAGAATGTGGAGGTGAGGCGAGGCAAAGGCAGTAGGCCAATAGCTTGTGTAGTTCTGCTGAAACACAGCTCTGGTTTCTATCTTTTAACCCAGGCTCTCTTCCAAAAAACCCGTCTGGCAGAATTAATTTTAGTCTCCAGTGAGTCCAAGGATTCCCACTGTGAAAGAAAAAGAAATTACCCTGCAAGGCATAAACTTGAATGTCATAAGCAGGACATTAGAATTACCCAGGATAATACTGTAGGCTGGAAGAGTCCTTAGGCCAGGGGTCTTCAAACTTGGCCCTTTTATGACTTGTGGACTTCAACTCCCAGAATTTCTCAGCCAGGCATGCTGGCTGAGGAATTCTGGGAGATGAAGTCCACAAGTCATAAAAAGGCCAAGTTTGAAGATCCTTGCCTTAGGCTGTAGAGAAAAGAAACCAAGCAAAAACTTTTTTTTGCCTGCTATATTAACTCAGAGGAGACAGATGTAACATGCTTAACGTGGTGCTGTCCTTAAAGAGGTACTAGAAGCTTAAGCTGCTTCAAAGTGATGCCACCATATTCTTACCTAAGGCTTAAATTAAATTCAAATTTGTTTATTACAGCCCCGAGGCCAAATACAAATAAGATAAGTTTTAAAATGAAATAAATATGAATATATATATAAATGAAATAAATGAATTTTGTGTGTGTGTGTGTGTGTAAGAGAGAGAGAGAACAATAAGTATAATGGATTCTAAAAATAATTAAGAACATAGTTACTAAAATAATCTACTATTATAAGAATTTCCAATCCTGAGTGTGGTATATCATATAAATGGTAGCACAGAATTGGGTGACTTGAGAGATTACTTTTGAGTCCTTGCTGGAGAATAGTTGTTATCTAAGGCTGCACAGGTAGACTATTTCATTCCAATACAGTTGTGCTTATTTTGGGGTTGAGTTCAAGATGCTTCTTACTTTTAAAGCTCAGTTGGGTCTGAAGTTGCTTGATAATTCTAATTCTGCAAGATCGAATCTGGGTCGGTCACTGGGACCAGAGATTTATTCTTCCGAGTTTACGGACTCATGATGGAGCCCATCTTCAGGGAACTTCTCTCTACTGGAATACATGCTTTGGGTTAATTTTAATTCTCATGAATTGACATCACACACTGAGATTAACTGGCATAAACAGATAATAAGTATTATAATTTATAAATTGGAATTTGATAATTAAAGGATCACTTTCTTATATATATTTTCAGTGGTGCATTCCAGTAAGTGTCTATAATCTTGCTCTTTGCCCAACCCCAACAGAAATATGACAGTTGGAAAGAGAAATGGAACACCTTCAGTTGTGGCACCAGCATTTTGCAACATTCTTCCCAGAAGCCATGCATAGCCACATCACTACAAACATTTCATGAACTGATTGACTCCTGACACTTTTAGGAAGCTTTTAGGTGGCAGGGTCAAAGACAGTTTAATTTTATTGCTAATATGCCCAACTGTTGTCCACTCTTTTTTTTTTTTTTTTTGCTTTCCCAGAGAGCCATTGTACTTAATCACTCTGGCCTTCTATACTGGAGTGTCACTTGCTTGAGACAGTCCAGATCAGAAAATAAGAACTACTGGAACCCCACTTTATTGTTGTAGGCATAATAACAGAATCTTGAAGGTCTGACAGATTCTCTCTTATCTTCCTTCCTTCCTTCCTTCCTTCCTTCCTTCCTTCCTTCCTTCCTTCCTTCCTTCCTTCCTTCCTTCTTCGCACGGCAATATAGAGTTTCTTCCTCACTAATTCTGGGCTAAACTCATATTTTCATAACCATTTTTCATAATGATTGATGCAGTCCTTCTTCATTGTCATCACCATACTTCTTTATATGAAGAAAAACAGAGATAATGCTGTTTTAGATAGATAGCTTTTATTGTCATTTTGTACTGTGGACACAATGGCAGGTATTATGTCACGTAATGACACTTGGACTACATGCAAATTAATTTATTAATGAATATGCAATATTTGTTTTATTAAAGTATGTGGGATTTATATTGGGTCCTATACAGGTAGTCCTCGACTTACAACAGTTCATTTAGTGACTGTTCAAAGTTACAATAGAGCTGAAAAAAGTGATATATGACTATTTTGCACACTTACAACCATTGCAGCCTCCCCGTGATCATGTGATCAAAATTCAGATACTTGGCAACTGGTTCATTTATATGACGGTTGCAGTGTCCCGTGGTCATGTGATCACCTTTTGCGACCTTCTGACAAGCAAAGCTAGTGGGGAAGTCAGGTTCACTTAATAATCAGGTAATTGATTTAACAACTGCAGTGATTCACTTAACAACTGTGGAAAGGAAAGTCGTTAAATGGGGCAAAATTCACGTAACAAGTTTTTCACTTAGGAACAGAAATTTTGGGCTCAGTTGTGGTCGTAATTTGAGGACTACATGTAGTCATTAACTGCTTTTGCATTTCCTAGGCAATTACTTAATGTGGATGCTTTAAAGGGTAACTTCCATATATTTCTAGTCCTCAAATATCGCTCAGAATGTGCCTTCTGATAAAACTTCACCCCAAATCCAGGCCTAAATTGATTTGTTGTTGTTGTTAATTGCGAAGTCGTGTCCAACCCATCACGACCCCATGGACAACGTTCCTCCAGGTCTTCCTGTCCTCTATCATCTTCTGGAGTCCATTTAAGTTCACACCTACTGCTTCAGTGACTCCATCCAGCCATCTCATTCTCTGTCGTCCCCTTCTTCTATTGCCCTCAATCTTTCTCAGCATTAGGCCCTTCTCCAGTGAGTCCTTCCGTCTCATTAGGTGGCCAAAATATTTGAATTTCAACTTCAGGATCTGGCCTTCTAAAGAGCAATCGGGGTTGATCTCTTCTAGGACTGACCGGTTTGAACACCTTGCAGTCCAAGGGACTCGCAGGAGTCTTCCTAAATTGATATTCCAATAGATAAGATGAATTTGTCCAAATCTATGCCCCAACCACTGGTGCTGAAGAGGATGAAATTGACCAGTTTTATGAAGCCCTACAGCACCTTATAGAATTAACACCAAAAAATGATGTCCTTATCATCATGGGGGATTGGAATGCTAAGGTAGGAAGCCAAAAGATAACCGGAATAACAGGCAAGTTTGGCCTTGGAGTACAAAATGAAGCAGGGCACAGGCTAATAGAATTTTGTCAAGAGAATACAATGGTCATAACAAACACTTTTTTCCAACAACCCAAGAGACGGCTCTACACATGGACATCACCAGACGGTCAACATAGAAATCAGATTGACTATGTGCTCTGCAGCCAAAGATGGAGAAGCTGTATACAGTCAGTAAAAACAAGACCAGGAGCTGACTGTGGCTCAGATCATGAGCTTCTCGTTGCAAAATTTAGGCTTAAATTGAAAAAAGTAGGGAAAAGCACTAGGCCATTCACATATGAACTAAGTCATATTCCTGATGAATATACAGTAGAGGTGACAAATAGATTTAAGGAATTAGATCTGATAGACAGAGTGCCTGAAGAACTATGGATGGAAGTTCGCAACATTGTACAAGAGGTAGCAACTAAAACCATCCCAAAGAAAAAGAAATGCAAGAAAGCAAAATGGCTGTCTGAGGAAGCTTTGCAAATAGCTGAGGAAAGAAGGGAAGCGAAAGGCAAAGGAGAAAGAGAAAGATACACCCAATTGAATGCAGAATTCCAGAGAGTAGCTAGAAGAGATAAGAATGCCTTCTTAAATGAACAGTGCAAAGAAATAGAAGAAAACAACAGAATAGGGAGGACCAGAGATCTCTTCAAGAAAATTGGAGATATGAAGGGAACGTTTCATGCAAAGATGGGCATGATAAAGGACCAAAATGGCAGAGACCTAACAGAGGCAGAAGAGATTAAGAAGAGATGGCAAAACT